CGCATACACATGAAAGACAGGGCCACAGTGTGGAGCTTCACATAGATGCCCAGAACAGATAGTTCTGAGACAGAAAGTCTGTCTACTAGTGAATGCTGGAGACAGGCGACTACTCACAGGAGTAATGGACTGTTCTAAATCTAGACAGTTGTAATAGCCGTCTGACCTGTGACTATTCCACAGATCCAACTGTACTGGATGCTGGGGCGAAAACCAGAACTTTCCACAGAATGGATAGGTGCTCCCCTACTGAGCTGAGATATAGCTCAGTGGGTAAAACACTTTCTAGTGTGGGCAAGCCCTGGGTGATGGAACCTAACACCACATAAACCAGGCAGGTATCACTACAGTATCCTGGAGGTAAAGGCAGAGTCTGGGCTTCATAGACACAGAGATAAGAGGTAGGGAAGAGGAGGGGAGATGAGAGACATGAAGCTCTCTCCCCTGTAGCTCTGCCCTGCCTGTGGGATACCCACACTATTGGCAGAGCGGCCTGTACAGGGCCTAGGAAGGCAGTCATGTGTGTCCTCACACTTGAGCCCGAGAGCTGGTGCCCACACAGGGCAGACACCTGTGTTTGTCTGAATCAAACTAGCAACAAGGCAATGCTCAAATGGGTGGACATCTGTACTACACAAGGCCAGACCATGTTCTGGAAAAACCGACCAACCATTCCAGGGACACTGGGACAGGACTGCCCCAGCAAGCAGAACTACCTATCTAACTGGAGATATGGGGCAGCTTACCCGTGCCTGAACTTTAGGCAATAGCACGTGGTTTGTCTGCACACAACTGACACCCAGCTCTGCAGGGCGCCAGTACCATAGCTTTCCCTCTTCCAGTTGTGGCAACCACAAATGTCCCTAGATATCACCAAGTGTCAGTTTCAGGGCAGGACACCCATGAGAATGGCTGGTTAATCTTTCCATAAGGCAGAAGTGATCAAGTCTGCCCAACTATCACATATCCCACAGGGGGTGTTCAAAACTAAACTAAGGGCTTTGCTTTGTAAGAGTAAGGACACAGGAACATTCCTGAGTGTGTGAACCTATAATCACTCCCAAATAAAATATTTAACTTGAAGCCAGCATGACATTTCATGCCTATATTCACAGCACTGGGGACAATGAGACAAAACTGCTCAAAGTTTGAAGCCAGCATGGGCTACACAGTGAGTATCAGACTGCCCTGAATATAGACTCAGAGCATCTCAGAAAAGAGAAAAACAAAGTCTAACTTGAAAAAGGGCAGTGCTTCCATGGCCAGGGAAACCTGCTGGGGGTTCCCCAGCTGTCCCCAGTCTCATCATGAACAGAGTAAGTGGCCTTAGCTTCGGTTTGAAAGGCAAGCACAGAGTCTATTTCACACAGAAGCCCACTGTCATCACCCCTTCCTTTCTGGAGCAGGTCAGCCCACACAGGCAGGCTAAAGGTCAACCTGCCTCCTGCCCACAAGCAAGGATTAGCGGGGACACTCACGGGAAGAGGTCAGCAGCAGAAACTACCTTCTGAGTCACACAGGAGCTGGCTCATCCTACCCACAGAACGACTCACCCAGCCTCCCACAGGACTCCCAAGCTCATCAGAAGGGACACGCCACCACACATGGCCTACTGAGTCACCAACAGGAAGGCCACCTGGTCCTCCCTCTCAGGTTTGCCCCCTAAGCTGCCTGCCAAGCAACTAAGAATGGCATCTGCATTCTTCTGCCAAAGGGGTCATTCCTTGAGGTCCCAATGTCCTAAACTGCTATAAGGATGATGTTCCCCTCCCATCTGTCAGTTCTCCAAACCTGGTCCCAAACTGGGTATTTCTGAATGTGGACAGCATGGCTGCTGTCCTCTAAGAAGCCATTGGTACCAGCCCAGGGCCATGCCTTACTCAAGTGTGGGACTCAGTTCCTAATCTACCTGTGAAGTTCCAGAACCTAGAGTGATAATGTTTTTCTGTCCTCTATGCATGTTCCAGGGACACCAAAGGTAGCTCGCAGGTACTTATATAAAGGATTATGAAGCCAGAACTGGTGGCATACACCTGACATCCCAGCTTTCTGAGAGCTAGTCAAGATATGCTGAGACCCCCCATCTCAAAACACAACAGACTGGGAAGGACTATAGGCACACAGTGTGACCTAAGCTCCCACCTCAGGGGCAGGAGCACCTGCATCATGGTCCCTACTCTGGATGCCTCCATAATGGGACCACCTGGCAACAGGAGATTTTTTTGTTTGTTTGTTTGTTTGTTTACTGGGGGAAGAGGGGTAAAACACTATGACAATGACTTGAAACTGGGTCTTATACACATGGGGCAGGCTTGCATGGAACTATGTAGCCAAAGCTGTTCTTGAACTCCTGATCCTCCTGCCTCCACTTCCTGAGTGCTGGAATGGCAGGTCTGACAAGAGTGTTGAATATGCCAGGCACTAGCCCCTGGCTTCCCTGAGAAGCAGAACTCTCTATGGGAGAATAGGGCTAGAAGAAGGCACTGTGGAGGTGTTGTCACTCGGGCTGTGTGAGAGCTGGCACTTGGACAGGAGCTGACAGCCACAGCTGGGATGGGCCTGCAGATGTCAGGAGCAGGGCTGGGCTAGCAAAGCCAACCCTGCCAAGTGAGATCTGGGCCATTCCCACCCGCCACTGGAAAGCCAGTTCCCGCCAGCTCAACTGAAGGCTTGACTCAGATGGGGTGGGAACTGGGCCAGTGTCACTGGGTGAACTTTCATCTTCATCCCCAGGGTACAAGGTAGAGGCAAACTGGCAACTTTGGGGATTCAGGCTGGTGACTGTCCACTCAGTACAAACCTAGCAACCCAGCTCTTGGTACTCCCAAGGACTACTACAGCCTGAATGAGTTCTCAAGCAGGTATCTGGAACTCACAGCCTCTAATACACACATATATACACCATACTGGGGTTTACCCAGCACTAGAGGCAGAAGCAGAATACCACTAAAAGTTCCAGGCCAGCCACAGCTGTATAAGACCAAAGAAATAATAGAAAAAGTATCACTGGACCAGCCCAGGCATCCTGTAACAGAATGAATGATCACCAAAATGGCTCAGTGCTTAAAGGATGCTGCACAGCTGACTCTTGTCAGACCTGCCATTCCAGCACTCAGGAAGTGGAGGCAGGAGGATCAGGAGTTCAAGAACAGCTTTGGCTACATAGTTCCATGCAAGCCTGCCCCATGTGTATAAGACCCAGTTCCAAGCCCTCAGACAGTGTGGGTGGACGAGCCTCATACACATTCTCCCTGGTGAATGGGGCTCCCAGAGTCATGGCGCTACACACTGTTGATCGTTCATTGGACTTTCTGGAAAAAAACTGCCAGTAGAAGACAGCATGACATTCAAGGAGGTAAGAGGTTGGGACACAGAGACAGTCGAAGGGAACTTGGGGATGGCTCAAGTGTGCTGCTTCTCAACTGTGAGGGTGGCTACAATTCACAGAACTCTACCCTGAAAAGAGTGGATGGTGATTCTAGAAGACAAAAAGAGGAAGGGATGAAATTTAAATCAGAACTTCAACATTCTAAGAGGAAAAACACCAAGAAGTCTGCCCTTCCTTTCTTTCAGACAACCTCCCAGGCTTCCCATGCCCTTTAGGCACCATCAACTTGGTGGGGGCAACTTTTCCAATTTCCCACAGTCTGTCCAACAAGACGGGACAACTTCTCCAACTTCTCAGACTTCTAGACAGGCCATCAACCTGGAACTCACTCTGTAGACCAGGCTGGCCTCAAACTCAGAGATTCAACTGCCTCTCCCTCCCAAATGCTGGGATTAAAGGCGTGAGCCATGGCCACTGATGATACCACCCAGCTTGTTCCTTTTTTTTTTTTTTTTTTTGAAACAGGGTTTCTCTTCGTAACAGCCCTGGCCATCCTGGAACTCAGAGGCCTGCTTGCCTCTGCCTCCCAACTGCTGGGACTAAAGGTGTGTAACACTGCCACCTGGCTCTTGTAGGAATTTTTAAGGACACACATACACAGAACTGCCCAATGGGAAGAGGCTGAGGATCAGTTGCTAGGGTGTCCCAGAGCACTGACAGTATCCCATGGGGCCCCAGTGAGGATGCGAACTCAACACACCCATGAACCACACTTCATTTTCTACTCAAAACATATACTGGGCCACCCATCAGGGACCAGGATGCTGACTTCCCCAAGCTCTCCTGGACTTCAAAACCCCTGTATGCCTCTGGCACTTCCACTATGCTTATCGTTTTCCAAGGATTGGAGGATAACACCCTCAGTTTTCCAAGGTCTCACCAGCTCAGCCCACCAACAAGAGAGGACAACCTCCCAGAATTCCCGAGACTGCCCCCAGCCATGCCACCAAAACGGAGAGGACAACCTCTCCGACTCTGCAAACCCTCTACAGACATTCGACCAATAAGAGCAACAACTGCTCCAGCTTCTTCTCATGGTTATCACCAAGCCAGCCCATCAACATCAGACAACACGTGAGATACAAACTGAGGTGACAACCTCCCAAACATTCCAGGTCCTTCCAGCCTGGCCCACTGTCATGAAAAGAACAACTTTCCAGAACCCTCCCACCATGCCACCAACAAGGGGGACAACCTAAAGTGACATGAATGGCCAACCTCCCCAACGAAGTAACACCCCTTTAGCACCTGCTCACCAACACCAAAGGTGACAACCTAAGAGGACAACAAGGAAAGGCAGCAGGATGAGACAGAGACGACAATATGAGGAGACATGACAAGACAACACGAAGAAACAACATAAGGATCCCATACTGAGGCTAGGCGCCGCCAACCTCCCAGTCCCCGTGGCCCTGCCCACAACGTCGCCTCGGACTCAGGTCCGCAAAGCCTGGAGACGCGGGGCTCCAGGCCGGAGGCGGCGACAGCGCCACAGGCACGCCGGGGCAACGGTAGCCGCGGGCGCGGGCCGGGAACGGCCAAGGACACGCCGCCGCCGCGGAGCCCGAAACCTCGCGAACCCCAGCCCCAGCTTCCCCGCCAGCACACTCACGTAGACAGGCAGCGGCCACGGGTAGACGGCGGGCTCGGCGCCCACTGGCGACTTGAGCCTCAGCTCCAGCTTCTCGCCCATGTCGGCGCGCGCGGCCGCCGCACCATGCTAGGCAGACGGTTGGGGGAGGGGCGGGGCCGCCGGCGGGAAGCCGGGCGGGCGGGGGCGGGCGGACGCGGGCCGGACGGCTGAGGACAGACGGCCCGGCCTGCGCCTCGGCCGCCGCTCCCGTGCGGCCCCCGGCTCCCCTCTTTGTAGGAGTCACAGACCCGGGGCGTCTACAGCCGCCGCCATCTTGGGCCGGCGTGAGAAGAAGGCACAATGAGCCTGGGGGTCGGGCTGAACCATTCGGCGCGCGCGCGCGGGGGAGGCCGGGAGCCAAGAAGCCGTGCGCGCCCAGGGCCTCCGCCCACCGCGCCGCGCGCGCCACCCCTCACACGCCACGCCCCCTTGGACTCGCCCGCCTCCGAAGGACGCACGCACGTAGCACGCAAGGGCGTACGCACGTCCTCGGTTGCCCTCAAACGCCCCCGCCAGCCGGGAAGGGAGACCCGGGGAAACCCTGCAGAGGGATCCTAGAGAGACCAGGCAGGACTCAAGTTCAAATACCAACTTCGCAGGCTCGCCTTTTTTCCCCCCTTTTTCCTTTTTTACTTGTCTTTTTATTTTCCCTTTTTCCTGATTTTCGAGGCAGAGTTTCCCTATGTAGCCCTGGCTGCACTGGAACTCACTCTGTAAACCAGGTGGGCCTCGAACTCACAAGAGAACCACCTGCCTCTGCCTCCTGAGTGCTGGGATTAAAGGTGTGTGTGTCTCGATGCCTGGTTTCTTTTTATTCCTTTTCTAAAGAAAAAAAAAAAAAAATTCAGGGGCTGGAGAGATGGTTTAGAGGTTAAGAGCATCGGCTACTCTTCCAGAGGACCTGAGTTCAATTACAACTTTCTGTAATGAGATGTGGTGCTCAGCAATACATGCAGGCAGAATATTGTATACATAATAAATAAATAAATCTTTTAATTTTTTTCCCCCTCTGGCCAGCAGGATGCCTTTCATCCCAGCACTCTGGAAGCAGAAACAAGCGTATCTCTGTCAGTTTGAGGACAGCCTGGTGTACAGTGCGAGATCCAGGACAGCCTAGGCTACACAGAGAAACCCTGTGTAATAAAAATAAATAAAAATAAAATTTTTCTTACTTTTATTACAGTCTCACACTAACAAAGCTATTGAAGAGCCCAGAAACATGAAAATTTGTGTGCTCTAGGAGGTTTGGAGCTGACAGCTCCTGTGGAAAGAGGTTAACCATTAACAGTCCCTTCTACATTTTGCTGGGGAAAGCAGCTGTGTTGATAGCCACAGGCTTTCACAGACATCTTGAATTGACACTCTGTAATCAAAAGGTGTCAATATTGGGATGTACAACTCAAGTCTAAGCTCAAGATTGTAAAAAGTCCTTTGACTCATTACCATGGTTTTGCTGTAAAAGGCCTCTTCTCAATTTCCCAGCATCAAAAAGCCCCAACTCTGCCTGTGACCTTAGCTAGCTACAAGTTTTGATATTGCTCTGTTTGGAATAAAGTTTGCTTCTGGTTAATAGACTTTAGTGGTCTGGTCCCCATTACTTGTACAACCTGAGGACTCAACATTATAATCCAAGAACTTGGGAAGCTGAGGCAGGGAGATCATTCCTCAAAAAACAAAACAAGGACTGGAGAGATAACTCAGCAGCTAAGAACACTGACTGCTCTTCCAGAGAACCTGGATTTTTAGTCTCCAGTACTCACACTGTGACTCACAGCTGTCATTCCAATTCCAGGGGTTCCAACACCGTCTTCTGGCCTCCAAAAGCACCAAGGAAGCTTGTGGTGCATGAACATAAATGCAAACAAAACACTCATATACATAAAAAAAAAAAAAAACAAAATTAGAATCTCCATAAACATAAACTAGCCAAGTTAGGTAGCCCGCATCGTGAATCCCAGTACTCAGTAGGCAGAAGCAGATGGATGTCTGTGAATAGAAGACCAACCAAGCCAATCAGGGTTATATAAAACGACCCTGGGCTGGAGAGATGGCTTGGCGGTTAAGAGCACTGACTGTTGTCGAGGTCCTGAGTTCAGTTCCCAACCACTTCATGGTGGCTCACAACCACCCGTAATGAGATCTGGTGCCCTCTTCTGGCCTGTAGCCATACATGCAGGCAGAACATTACATACATAAATAAATCTTAAGAAACAAAACAAAACAAAAAGAGCACCGGTTAGGAGGTCCAATCCTGTTACTCCTTTCTTAACTTGACTTGGTATTACTCCAAGGCAGGGCCCTCCTTCTCATTTCTTGGGTATCAATTTCTACTTTTACATATATTGTCCAAAGAGAAACTCCATCTCTCTCCTACAAGACAATATCCCATCAGTGTAATCCCTAGGCTAATTTAGTAGCCTTGGAGACAATTTCTCAGGTCCTCCTTGTTTTTTTTTTTTTTTTTTTTTTTTTTTTTTTTGGCCAGAGCTAAGGATAGGACCTGGCCTCCTGGAAGCTACTACTCAAGATTCCCAAACCACGACCCAGTCCCTCAAGCGGGGGTGGAGTGGGAGTGTGTGGTGTGATCTAGGCGGGGCTCCACCCTGACCACGCCCTCAGCCCCTCACTGGCGGGTCTAGGTGGGGCTCCACTCTGACCACGCCCCCAGCCCCTCATGGGGGGATTCTAGACAGGGGCTCCATCCCCGACAACACCCCAGCCTTGAATATTAGAGATATAATGTGCGCAGGAATGTTTGAATCTGATCTTGCCTCAGCTCCCCAAACGCTGGGATATGAGGGAGTATGGGCTGTACCCAGATGCTTCTTTATTCTTTGTTATCAACCTCAACCTTCATCCGAAATAAGCAAAGGCCTCCCACGGTGGGTCCAGAGAGAGAGAAAGGGAGGTCTCCCCACTACCACTCTGGGTTCTGATGGAGATGGAGGTCTCCCCGTCCCCATTGTGGATCCAGAGAGAGCGAGGAAGATCTCTCCTCCCACCCCCAACCCGCACCTGTGGGTTTAGAGGGAGAGGAGATCTCCCAACACTGTGGGTCCAGAGGTAGAGGGAAGTCCGTCCGTGTCGTCGTGCCCCCCCCCACCCTGTCTTTGAAGTTCCTCTTTAGCTTCCCGCTTCCATGGTCTCAAGGCTGCTGGCCGACTGTGCTAATTTTGGGCTTAGAGCCCACAGGATTGTGTGACTCACATCTTAAAATAAACCTCTGTCTCTATATCTGTGCGCACTTGGCTCTATTTCTGGAAGCCTGAGTAATAGCCAAAGAAGACGGGGCTTGTGCCCAGCCCTCCCTTCCAGCCAGCACTGTGCTTGCACTCCCTGCACTCCTGAGGCTGGGGTGGAGGATCCAAAGTTCCAGCAAACACCAAACATGGGGCTAAGTGGGTAGAGGGCCGTCCTAGCATTCTGGAAGCTCTGGGATGCATCCTAATTCCAGCAATTCCTAATCTGGGTTTGGTGACTTAGCCTATCACTACAGCACTGGGAAGTAGACACAGAGCCATCAGGAGTGCAAGGCTACCCTCAGCTATATAGTAAGCTTGAAGTCAGCCTGGGCTAGGGGGTGAAACCTCCATTGAAAAAGTGCTTGCTGCCGAGTGGTGATGGTGTGGGCCAGCAGTAGAGAGGCAGACAGGCAAATCTCTGTGAGTTCGAGGCCCCAGTCTGGTCTACAGAGCAGGTTCCAAAGCTACAGAGAAAACCTGTCTCTGAAAAAAAGAAAAGAAAAGAAAAAAGTGAAAAAGTGTTTGCCATAGAGTTAGGACCCCCAGAACCCATATCAATGTCCCATGGGCCTGGTACTAATCCTAGCACACACACAGGAGGCAGACAGGACATCCCAGAATAAGCTGAGTGGCTAGACTCATCCAGCCCAGCTATAACTTCAATGGAGAGATCTCATTTCCATGTCTAAGGTGGAGAGGGTTGGGAAAAACACTGGACCTTGAGCTCAGACCTCCACACACACCTGTTGTCACACCATGGAAACATACACACAAAAAAGAAAAAGGGAAACAGGGTCGAGTGTGTGGTGAGCTGGAGGAATAGCTCAATTGATAAGGAGTTCACCTTGAAAAGTCAAGGATACAGGTTTGATCCTGGTACCCATACATGAATGTCAGCCCTGGTGTGGTGGCTACCAACACTTGGAAATCAGAACCTGGGAAAGCAGATGCAGGAACCAGTCTAGCCTAATGAGTGAGTTCCAGGCTTGAAGACACCCTCTGGCTCAAGAGTGGGTTGAGGTAAGCAGTGGTGGTGCACACCTTTGAGCCTAGCATTTGGAGGCAGAGGCAAGTGGATGTCTGTGAGTTCCAGGCCAACTTGGTCTATAGAGCTAGTTCCAGGAGAATGGGGGGGGGGGTGTCATTATACAGAAAAACCCTATCCTGAAAAAACAAAAAAGGGGACTGGAGAGATGACTCAGAGGTTAAGAGCACTATCTGATCTCCAGAGGTCCTGAGTTCAATTCCCAGAAATCACATGGTGGCTCACAACCATCTGTAAGGTGATCTGGTGCCCTCTTCAGGCATGCAGACATATATGCAGACAAAATACTGTTACATAATAAATAAATAAATCCTTAAAAAAAGGTGGGGGGGCAGTGGTGTTGCATGCCTTTGATCCCAGCACTTGGGAGGCAGAGGTAGGTAGATCTCTGTGAGTTCAAGGTCAGCCTGATCTACAAAGCTACACAGAGAAATCCTCAAAAACCAAAAAAAAAAAAAAAAAAAAAAAAAAAAGGAGCAGACAGCATTCCTAAAGATCATAGCTGAGGGAGGATGGTGGCACATGCTTTAATCCCAGCACTTTCGAGGCAGAGACAGACAGATCTTAATCAGTTCGAGGCCATCCTGGTCTATAAAGCAAGTTCCAAGACAGCCAGGACTGTTACACAGAGAAACCCGTCTTGAAAAACAAACAAAAAGATCATAACTAAGGCTGTCTTCTGACCTCCGCATACCACCTACCACATACACTCTGACCTCCATACCCATGAACACAAGCTCATGCACATGTGTGTGTCCGTGTATACGCACGCGCACACGCACGCACACACACACACACACACACACACACACAGAGAAAGAAAGAGTAAATGAATGACTAAAATGTCTAAAGAAAAGGAAATTGGACCTTGAGAGAGGGCTGGCAGGAGTTGGCAAAGTGCTAGCCATGCAGGCTTGAGGGTCTGAATTTGTTCCCCAGAACCCACAACCACAATAGGCTCAGCCATGGTGATGCACACTTGTGATCTCAGCACCAGGGAGGCAGAGACAGGAGGGTCCCTGGGCCTCAATGACCAGCCAACCAAGTCTGACCTGAGTTCAAGGGCAATGAGAGACATAATCTCTAAAACAAGTTGGACAGAATCTGAGGAGTCACACCCAAGGTTGGCCTCTGTCCTTCATACGTGGATGCTTCAGCACATATGCACAGCAAATATTGTGTTGTCATTAAGAATGCATGGTGGTGGTGGGGAGCTGGGGCTGGGATCAGCAGGTGAGAGACTGGCTCCTCTTCCAGAGGACCTGAGTTCAGTTCCCCACAGCCAGATGGTGGCTCACAGCCGTCTATAATGGTGTCCAGTGCCCTCTTCTGGTGTGCAGCTGTATAGGCAGATAGAGCACAGTATATGTAAAAAAAAAAATTAAATCTTAAAAAAAAAAAATAAAGAATGTTTGGGGAACTGAAATTTGCAAGATGAAGGTGGAAAGACACTGGATGCTCCAACCTTGCCTTAGGTGAGTGTAGAGGAAATTCAGCACCACGGAGAGCTCCAAAGGGCTGCTGAAAACCTTTCCATCCTCCTAAAGCAGTTGCTAGGAAGGAGGCACTTGCAAGCCTCAAAGGCTATGACAGGGAGAGGGCTGTGGCCTGACTTAGAGCACTGTCAACCTGCTTTTTTATTTGTTGTTGTTGTTAACATTTTGAATTTATTTTATGTGCATTGGTGTTTAGACTGCATGTATGTCTATGTGAGGGTGTTGGGTCCCCTGGAAGGAGTTACTGATGGTTGTGAACATCATGTGGTTGCTGGGAATTGAGCCCAGATCCTCTGGAAGAGTAGCAAGTATTCTTAACTGTTGAGCCATCTCTCCAGCGCCCTGCCCCATCAATTCCTTTGTTGTTGTTGTAGCTCTGAAGCAGGGTTTCTGTGTGTAACCCTGACTGACTCTGTAGACCATCAAGGCCTCCAACTCACATATCCTCCTGTTCTGCCTCTTGTGTCCTTAGGTTAAAGGTGTCCACAACCATATCTGGAACCTTTTGTTTTGTTACAATCTTATTTTGATTATGTGTGTATATGTGCATGTGGGTAAGTGCATGCGATTGTTGCCTATGGAAGCCAGAGACAAGAGATAGCTCTGAGGCTAGGGTTACAGGTTCAGACCCATTAGTATTATGGGAACCTAAGTCCAGCCTTCTGCAGGAACAGCATACACTCTCAGCAGCTGAGCCATTGTGCCAGCCCCCTTCTCTCTACTATTACTGGATGTATAATGTGACACACTCTGTTAACCTCTTGTGGCTTTGACTTCCCCTACATGATGTGCTATAACCTGGAACTTTGAGCCATATACACTCTTTGTCCATCAAGTAGATTTTGCCTGCTTATCTTACCTCAGCAACCGGAAAAATTCCTGAGACCCTGGATAAGCACACTACCATTGAGCAGCAACCCCATATGATACTTAGAGAAAGTCCACATGAGCGATTTAGTTGTAACTGGTCTTACTTCTGCCTATGATGATGTGCCATGGCATATTATAACCAGCCTCAGTGGGAGCATTTACACCATAGACACTGGCAAAAGTAACAAGTGCATGCCCCATCCCAAGAGCCAGGCAATAAACATGCACCAACAGACCCTGGAGAAAGTCAAAAGCTGGGGTCCAAAAGGAGCCAAGTTGAGATTAGATCCATCTATTCCTGGAGGAACTGCAGATAAGAGTAGATGTTTTGGCTACACAGATTGAGAAGGGTCTTTGTTACACAGCATTAGGTAAACTCTTTATGACTGGTACACCAGGCATCAAGATCATTGAACTACAAAGGCTCCAAGCATGTGAGGCCCTGTGAGACAGTATGCTGTGTTAATGGTTTGGGTCAGAGTGGAAGAGTTTGAGTTGTGGGAACAGTGGGTGTTGGGTTAATAGGCTTCATGTCTCCTAATCTCTGTTTCTTCTTTTTATTTTTTTATTTTTTGGTTTTTGTTTCTTTTAGAGATAAGGTTTCTCTGTGTAGCCCAGGCTGTCCTGGAACTCACTCTGTAGACCAGGCTGTCCTAAAATTCACAGACAACTGCCTGCCTCTACTTCCCAAGCACTGGGATTAAAAGCATGTACTACAACCAGCTGGGGAAACTTTCTTCTTACTTGAGAGTCAACTTGATCTCAGCTCATTACTGAAATTGGAATAGAGTAGATTCCTAGTATAGTGCTGAGTAGAAGGACAGGTCTGGGTCTGTGGATGGGTGGATGGATGGGTGGGTGGATGGGTGGGTGAATGGATACATGTGTGGATGGATCGATGAATGGATTGATAGATGTGTGGGTGCGTGTATGGGTAAGTGTGTGGATTGGTAGATGGATGGTTGGGGTGGGTTGTTGGTGGGTAGGTGAATGGATTCTTCATGGATGCATAAAGGGATTCAGGACTGAAGTATGATTGATTCATAGAGCCCTGAACATCTAGCTAAGTCCATCTTCTTAGGCTGCCAACTCTGGGTCTGGCCAGTACTTCCCCTGCTGGCCATGCTGAGAGTTGTGGCTAGTGCCAAAGCTCGCAGTAATATCAGAACTGTCTGTCAAATGCTCTTCTAACACCAGCAACTGAAATTATTTTCTTTGTTTGGTCACAGCAACAGAAAAGTAAGCAATGTCTGTGTGCTACTTTATGCCTTGTTGTAGGAGGCTAGAAGAGGGCTATGAATCCCCTGGAACTTGTTACAGACGATTGCATGTCACTGTATGGGTGCTGAGAATTGAACCCATGGTCTCTCTGGAAGAGAAGCCTGTGTTTTTAACCACTGTTCCATCTCTCCAGCCGCGCTTTTACTTATTGTTTATTTTCAGTGTTGGTGATTTAATCTAGGATTTCATGAATGCCATTACAGCCATTACTGAGCTACTCGTGTTCAGCCCCTCACTGTAGGATTCTGAGAGAGGAGCTCCATCCTGACCACATCCCCAGCTTCTCATTAGAGGATTTTGAGAGAGGGGCTCACCCTGACCACACACCCCCCCCCCCAGTCCCTCATTGCGAGATTCCTGGCATGGGCATTACCGTTTACGTTTGTGTATAGTTATTACAGTATTCAAGGTTTGCACTGAACTCCAGATTCTCCTTCCTCTACCTCCCGAGCGATAGGACGACAGGAACGTTGATGGGGTGCAGGGAATGGAACCTAGAGCTACCTCTGGAGCCAGCCCCGAGCCTTGTGTTGGTATTTTCAGACAGGGATTCACATAGCACAGGCTGGCCGGCAACCTCTGATGCTCCAGTCTCAGCCTCTGGACTGCTGCTATGACTGACTCCTGACACCAGGTCTCATCGTATAAGCTCTTAGATTCAGAAAAGGCGGAGCTGGGTACTTCACCAGAAACTTACAGAGTACGTTCCACGTGGGAGCTCCGCCCTCATATCGCCACGCCCACACTAGACCACGCCCACTGCTGTCATTCAGAGACCTGGGGAAACGCCACTCGCGTTTGCCTTAGGGTGTGTGGTTAGAATGTCTGTGGGGTCTGCTCACCAATGATACTTCAGGGCGCTGCACAGGAAGGGGTGGGTTGCACAGGTATCAAAGGGAGGTGTCTGCTTTCCTATTGGGTGGCGTGTGGTTGTCAAGGAAACCGTAGTGAGGGGTGGGGCTTTTGCTGAGGTGGGGCTTCCGGGACGCTGAGGCTCTCCGTCAGCTGACCCATCGCCATCTTGGCCGCCATTTGCGAGCGGCCCGGAGCAGGGAGGTGAGCGTTCTGTGGAAGCGGGGCCTCACTCGCCGCCCCTCTTCTCAGACTGGTCTCCGCCCGCAGCCGTAGCTCTGGCCTCCACGTCGCTCCCTCCGCGGCGGCCGAAAGCGCAGCACGTCGCGCGCCTGAGGTGCGGTCGCCGGGTGCCCGCGCCTTCCAGGGCCGCGGCGGAGGTGTTCCCCTCGGAGGCCGCAGCTCGCGGGTCGCCGCGATGGCCCTCAAGATGGTCAAGGGTAGCATCGACCGCATGTTCGACAAGAACCTGCAGGATCTGGTCCGCGGCATCCGCAATCACAAGGAAGACGAGGTGAGCCGGCGCGGAGCGGGGCTGGCCGGCTTTTCCCCGCAGCCTGTGGCTTATGGTCCGCCTCCTTGGAGTCGCCTCCTCGACTTCTTTGCCATATGCGTCTTGCCTGTTCGAGAGCTTCGGCTCTGCACAGCTTCACTTGCCGTCAGTTTATCCCCTAGCAGCTCCTGTCGTCTTGAAACAGACGCTGCCCAAACCGGGGGGCCACTCCCTGAACCTCCAGATTTGTCCACTTGGAGCAAGCGCTGCCCGAAAGGCTCAAGTGTTGTAGGTCTTGCTATTGAATGCCATTCCCCGAGCCTCAGTTTACATGCTTGGAGGGTATTTGGGAGAGAGATACCTGCTTAGGTAAAGGTTCTTCCACCAGAGCTTGTTTTTTAGATTGCATATTGAGGGATCAGGGGACCCTCCCAGAGAAAATAAGCCGTGGGTCTGTCGGTCTACCATGGAGTCAGGAAAACACAGGTGCAGGTTACTGTCTGGGTCCTACTTAGGAACCCTGCCAGGTCTCAGTTCCTATCCCTAGATGCCATGAACTACCAGGGTTAGCCAGCCCATAAACCATTGACCCCGGGGTGTCCTGGAATTGTGAAGCCTGACTTCAAAGATGGAAGCTCAAAGAAGGCAAAAGTCGGTGTGGAAGCGACTTTTCTAGAAGTTAAGCTGTGACCACAAGCTGCGTTTCCTTTTCTTCCTCCAGCCTGTGACCTAGATTAAGGAAGAAGTGAGATAGCGGCGCCTAATGCCTGGCTCAATATAAGGACACAGGCCTCCTCCTGGGCAGGAAGGCCTTCTTGAAAGAGGGCATCCATGACAGGTACCTGCTGGCCCCTGGTTGCTATGTGACACAGACTTCAGGAAGCAGGCTCCTGACTGGGACAGTCATTTCTCATAGCCCCTTCCCTGCTAACCCACCTTGGTAGCAGGGAAGCAGCAGCTCCTTCCCTGGCTGCTGCTTCAGTGGAAATAGCTGGTTGGTCCGCATTTTGCTGAGAAACTTGAAATTTTCTTTAAACTTTCTTGTGGCTCTCTCTGCTCTGAAAGGGATTTCACATTCCCTCATGCCTCTCCATTCCTCTGGGAAGCCTGTTGCAGGACCCTGAGGACAGGTCACATTCTAATTTGGGTACCTTGAGCAGGCTCTAGCTAGGGATATAACCCAGGCTGGCTTGAAGCTCATGATTCTCCTGCTGGGATGACTGATTTTGTGGGCTGTGTGCACATGTCCTCAGGAGACCATCCTCAAGGTCCTGAGTGTGTTGTTGGGTTCAGTGCTGACTACAGGCACTCGCTCCTTTGGGGGTGCTGATGCAGTACAGTGTCTGCTAGCCAGCCTTGCCGCAGAAGCCATGCTGTGGCCATCACCTGCCCAACATTGTGGTTGACAGCAGTATCACTGTGCAACCCAGACTAGCCTAGGAGTTGTAGTCCTGCCTTAACTTCCAAGTACTTAAGTTGTGCAGGTATGTGAACTCTGGAAGTTTTGTAGGTTTTCATTTGTTTTTGAGATTATCTTTTATTCATTCATTCATTCATTCACTTATTTATTTATGGTTTGTCAGGATAAGATTTCTCTGTTTAACAGTCCTGGCTGACCTGGAACTCACTCTATAGACCAGGCTGGCCTCAAACTCAGAGGTCTGCCTACGTCTGCCTCCTGAGTGCTGGGATTAAAGGTGTGCACCACCACTGCCTGGCTCACATTTGATGTTATTAAATAAAAATAAAACATCCTTCCTGCTCAACTTCCCCTGCTTCTTCAAAGCATCCACTTCATTAGCAGGCATGAGGCCCTGACCTCTATTCCAGGTACTTTGCAGAAAATTAATGGAATGAAAGCAGAACAGAAAATCCACAGTGCTTATGCTGCAGGGTATTCCCTGCAGTGCCTCTATAGTAAGTTTCTCTGCAGTCACCAAGTCTCCAAACAACTGGCTGTGTTTAGCTTAGCACCTTCTCCAATAGGCTTCCTCTGGGCACCGACTGGTCTGTGTAATATGATCAGGCCAGTCTGTTTCTGAAATGCTGGTGTAGCTAGCTATCTCATGGGTTTTTAGCTGTTCCTCTGATGGGAAGCTCCACATGTTAGGTGGAGACCTATCTTTACTGTGGCAATGTCTGTAGAGCCAGGAATTACTGATTTCCAGAAGAAACTCCTTGCCCATGTTAGTACTGCTCCATTGCTTGGCTCTTGGAAATTTCGAGGAACTTCCAGAACTAGACATGCTACCTGGCATTTTGGCACCCCATTCGTGACTGAGATGGCATCCCAGGTGAATCTCAAACTCCACCCTTTCCTAGGAGGAAGGTGGATTGATTCTATTCGTCTGTGCCCTGTGTGCCAAGGCCACCTACCATTTCTGCTCTAGCCTGTGACCAAGCTTCATTCACCACCATAGACTGGCCTTGTTGGACTTGGCTATCACCATAGCATGTTTCTGTCTAGCCACCCACAGAACTATTCCTGGTCCTAGGTTGGACTTTTGCTTGGTGTTAATACTAGCCAAGCTATTTGATAGGCTGGGAGCTCATGGCTGTCCTGAGGTGATCTGTGCCTGAGGCTGCCTGTGTTCTTTGCTCTGCTTTTGCCATTCTTTCCCTGCTCATTCTGTGCCCAGCTGAAATGGCTGTTTTGCCCAGGTTGGTCATTTTGTGGTACTGATAGTTCTGGGCCAATTCTAAGTATGTTCTTTACCCCTGAGCCACATCCCCATAGCACCTCACTGGGGGATTCTGGGCTGGGGCTCCACCTCTGAACACACCCCCAGACTGCAACTCAGGGATTCTAGGCAGGGCTCCACCTCTGACCACACCCCAGCCCCTCACTGGGGGGATTCTAGGTAGGTTCTCTACCCTGACCATGCCCTCAGCTCCTCACTGGAGGAATTCTGGGGGGCAGGGTGAGCTCTACCGATGAGCCACAGTCACAACCCTCTTTTTACTTTTCATTTTGAGATGGGATTGTGCAGTTGCCTAGGCTGGACTTGAACTTCCTGATTAGCTGAGAGGACAGATATTGGAACCCCTTTGGATCCTGTTCCCATTGCTCAATTTACTTACTTATGCAGAGGCTTGAACATCCCCTAGGTCTTCCCTTTGTAAATTAGGCCTTCTATTCTGCTATCTGGGTCTCCAGGCTGGGACTAGTACCATTAAGTATCCAGATTTCTCCTTACTTCCCAGGCTCATGCAGCCTCATTCCCTTATCTGTGTAGCAGGTGGGGCTGCTTCTCCAACTTGGGTTTATCTGCTCTAACTATGGGAATCACAGTCCCTGGCTCAGTCTTGCTCTGACTTTGTATGATTTGGGTGCCCTGAGATGACTTTTGTCACCAATCCTAGCTCAAGTGTGAGTTTCTTGTCTCACACCAAATGGGGTCAGGTTTGAATCACTGTTTTGAAAACTATTTTCCCTCTTGTGTTGTGTTCCCTCCTGGAATTCAGGCCCAATAGCCTCAGCCCCTGCACCAAGGCTGTAAAAATCCACTCTGTGAATTACTTTACACCAGAGCCCTCACAGTCTGGGGCAGTCTTTGGCTAGCTTGTCCATGGGCTCCTTAAGTTTCTATCTCCATCTGCATCTTTCTGTAGAGCACTGAGACTACATGTGCACTGTTGTGATTTGAACTCAGGTCCTTAGCATGAATAGCACTTTATCCACCAAGCAATCTCCCCAACCTATCCTTTTCTTTAAACAATTTTTTTTTAAGATTTATTATTTTTCAGCTGGGTGTTATTGGCATACACCTTTAACCCCAGCACTCAGGAGTTAGAGCCAGGCTGATTTCTGTGAGTTGAGGCCAGGCTGATTTACTATACAATAATGAGTTCCAGGACAGGGTCCAAAGCAATACAGAGATACCCTGTCTCGAAAAACCAAAAAAAAAAAAAAAAAAAACCAAAAACCCAACAAGTACTCTATCTGCATATATGCCTTTATGCAGAAGTGGGCACCAGATCTCATTACAGATAGTTGTGAGCCACCATGTGGCTGCTGGGAATTGAACTCAGATCCTTTGGAAGAGCAGCCAGTGCTCTCAACCTGTGAGTCATCTCTCCGGCCCCTCTTGTTTCTTTTTAAATTTGGGTTTCTGAGTCAGGGACTTTGCTATGTAGTCCAGCCTGGTCTAGAACTTAAGGTAGTCCTCCTGCCTGCCTCAGCCTCCCAAGGAATGTGATTACATGTGTGCCCCACCAGACCTGGGTGGATAGTGGAGTCACTTTAGGTTGTGTCTCGGGCAACAGTGGCCTTGCCTCCTGAAACTCAGGAGACTGTTACAGGAACTGTGAACATCCAGCTTCTGGGTCCTGAAGAACACTGCTCTGAGTATTTGGGCAGACCTAGCTGGCCAAGGGGGACTCTGGCACTCTGGAGTTCCTACTTTGTTCACTCTTCAAGTCCCACCCCACCTCGCACTGAGGGTCCCTTCCTTTCACAGAGGGCTTGCTTGTGCTCTTTTTCTTTTCAGTTATTAACAGTCCAGGGTTTTTGGTTTGCTTTTGGTTTGGTTGGGTTTGGTTTTTCGAGACAGGGTATCTCTGTAGCTTTGGAACCTCTCCTGGAACTTGTTCTGTAGACCAGACAGGCCTCAAACTCGGAGATTGAAGGGAGAGGCAAGGTCATTCCTGTGGCAGGGTGGTGCTGAGGATCCCTGAGTGGTATTTAGTTACTTGAGGCAGGTTGTAGTGACACTTGTTCCATTGGACTCAGTTGAGGTCATAAAATATTCAGAAAAGTACTCTGATTAGCCAGGTATGGTAGCCTATTCCATGGGGGTCAGGAGTTCAATGCCAGCCTCAGCTGCATGGCAGTCTGGGTTACATGAAGTCCTGTCTTGAAGCGAACAAACCCAAAAGATCAAAACAGATGAATAAATCTGTTGTTGAGAGGGTGCTGAACAGCTGTAGCTCTTCCCTGTGACCCCCTCGTTAGGGATAAGATGCCCTGGATAGTAATGGCCCCACAAATAGCCTACTAGATCAGCTTCACAGGGCATGGAACCTAACACCCCAATGCATGACTGTGGCAACGGGGTGGGAGGCTCTGGGATATGACAGCTCTGGCATGTGTCAGCTCTGAGCCGTATTTGAGGAACAGTTGACACATGCTGTCCAGGGGTCTGGTGGTGGCTGCTGGTTCCACTGTCAGATGACAGAGCCAGTCTCCTGGGCAGGTGTGATGTTGTTTCATGCCTTGCTTTGGCTTCATTTGTGCTTGTCCCAGAGTGGGGCAGGAAGCACTCCCTAGGCCCACATCAGCCCCTCTCTGGACTTTGTGCCTCAGTTCTCTTGGGTTGACCTGTCCCAAGAAATTGCTTGGTAGATTTGCTGAACTTGTGCTGGGGGGGGTGGGCGGGCAGTGGCCAAGGCAAAATGCCAACAAGTGGGACTGTGCAAGCAGTGTTTGAGAGGGAAAGGCTCAGTGGGCTCTGTAGAAAGGGTAGATCACTTGTCACCCTAGAGCAATCACTAGCCCCTTCCAGTTCCACATTTCTATTTCCCACCTCTAGATTGTCCGGTTCTAGATTTTTCCTACCAGTAGAGAATAAATAGGTGCCCAGGCTTTGATACACAGCTCAGTAGTGTGTGTACTTGCCTGGGTTACAGCAGCCTTGGTTCAGGTCTCTGTAACTAGGAAGGCTCAACTTCTCCTTCCTCCTGTCCACCTCCCTGAGCACCTGCTGACAGCCTCCATCCTGTCCACACTGATTGTCCAACCATCTTACCACTGTCTCCCACCCAGGCCAAGTACATCTCACAGTGCATTGATGAGATCAAGCAGGAGCTGAAGCAGGACAACATTGCTGTGAAGGCCAACGCTGTCTGCAAGCTTACCTATGTGAGTGTCTCCCCTGTGGTCCTGCCTGCCTGTCTGCCCATCATACATTGCTGCTGTGTGCAACACAAGGCTCATATAGAGTCCTGCCTGATGCTTCTGTGGCTGGTGCTGGCTGGGTGTGTGACCAGTGCTGAGGAGCTTGGTGGGGAAGCTCCAGCTCTGAACCTGCCTGCCCTTTTGGCTACAGGTATTGGTGGATGTGGTTGCCCCCATTTCTCCTCAGGTTATGAGACAAAGTATTGTGCTGATTCTCAGTACTGGAGTGTGCCACAAGGCTATCACAGGATAGTTCACTAGCCATTGTGGGAAAACTGTTCTTTTTTCTATTTTATTTTTTGAGACACAGTTTCTCTGTGTAGCCCTGGCTGTTCTGGAATTTACTCTGTAGATCAGGTTGGCCTTGGTCAAGGAGATTCACCTGCCTCTTCCTCCCAAATCCTGGGATTAAAGGTATGCATTACTATGCCTGGCTATTTATTTAATTTTTAAAAAGATTTATTTTATATATGTTGCTATTTTTGCCTGTGTGTATTTCTGTACTGTGTGCGTCCCAAGTTGGCTTGAATCTCTAGTCCTCCTACCTTAGCTTTCCAAGTGCTTTGGTCACAGACAATCATAGCTACATGTGCCATTGTGTGGGGACTTCATATAGTAGCACCATGTTCTCAGCTGTGAATGTCCATAGTCTTTAGTGTTATATGAACTTATTTCCTTAGACTTTAAATATACCATAATCTTTCTCCTTGTTAATTTTGTTTGTTTTTGTTTTTTGAGACAGGGTTTCTCTGTGGCTTTGGAAGCTGTCATGGAACTCTTGTAGACCAGGCTGGCCCTGAACTCACAGAGTTCCCCAAGTGCTGGGATTAAAGGTGTATGCAACTACCGCCCAGCCTCTCCTTGTTAATTTTTATTTCATTTCATAATTTTTTTGGTTTATGTAGACAGGGTTTCTCTGTGAAGCATTGGAGCCTGTCCTGGCACTCACTTTGTAGAGCAGGTTGGCCTTCCTGCCTCTGCCTCTTGAGTATTGGAATTAATGGGTGTGCCACCACCTCCTGCCTTTCTTTTCTTTAATTTTTTTAAGTGCTGGCTTAGGAACCTAGTCTCTCACATGCCAGGCAGGGACTCTTCTGAACCACACCCTAGCCCCTTACTGGGGGATTATAGGCAGGGGCTCCACCTTGGCCATGCCCCTATCCCCTATCTGAGGGGTTATAGGTGGGGTTCTGCCCTTTGAGGAGCTCTCCCTGTGAAGCACCTCCAGTCTTGTGAGAGTCATTTGTTGGGAAGAAAATATAAAAGTCTGAAAGGGTGTGTGATGGGTGAAGTTTGTATGTTCAGCGGGAATGCATGTTGTTCTTCCATGTATGCTGTGAGTGTTCTGATTGTGGCTGAAACCTTTGCCCCAGACTCTCCTTAGTACAAACCACGGTGCTTCCCATCTTAACAGTTACAGATGCTCGGGTATGACATCAGCTGGGCTGCCTTTAACATCATCGAAGTTATGAGTGCCTCCAAGTTCACATTCAAGGTGAGGGCCCAGAATGCCTAGCAGGCAGGTGTGCTGTGTGTGAGGTTCCTGAGGGGGAAGGGGCCTTTCAGCAGTGGGCTATCCTTGAGGGTGTGTTCAGTGGTCAGTGGTCCTGCTGTTAAAGGGAGACAGCATGCTTGCCCAGAAACTGTCACTCAGTGGGGAAGGCCTGAGACAGACAGCAGCTTAGGACTGTCTCCTAAGTACTGGGGTTAAAGGCATGTACCACCACCACCCAGCTTGACACTGGTTAGTAGGGATGGTTGTGGCATTTTACACTGAGGATTGGCTTTGAACCACCTGTAGCTGAGATTGGTCTTGCACAGCAGTTTCTGCCTCTGCCTTTGCCTCCTGAGTGTTGCCATGACAGATTGTGCCACCCTGTACAACAGTAGTGGTGTTTGATTGGAACATAACTGGCCCAGGTGGCCAAGGCTGAACAGCAGGACTGTCCCAGGGGCTCTGATACCTGGTTGTGGGGTCATTGTCATGGCAAGTCATTTCCTAGCCTCTGGTTAACATAGTTGGGCATGCTGGTCCCTTTAGGCATTTTTCTCTGTCTTATTCTATGCATGTGTGCCATATGCTGAATGCACCCAGCACCCAAGCAAGGCCCTGTTACAAGGGATGGACTAGTACATCACAAAAACCAGATCCGCCTGCCCATGTGTGTGGCAGTGTGGGTAGAACTGTCTGCTAATGCTGGGAGAGGCATTAGGGAGGAAGCCTTGGAACTTGGTGTTCAAGTTCAAGTTCAAGCCTGTCAACCTCCATAGAAGCTCCTGGAGCTCCAGGTGCTCTGCTGCTGTCATCATATCTACAAGTGTTTGCTGGATGATCCTGGTGGGGCTGCAGTGGCCCCATGGGCCCTAGGTGGCTCTGGCTCTAATGCTGTGGCTGTTGATTCTGCAGCGTGTTGGCTACCTGGCCGCCTCCCAGTGCTTCCATGAAGGCACCGATGTCATCATGCTGACCACCAACCAGATCCGCAAGGTAGACCCTGCTGCTTTCCTACCACTCAAGTGAGCCACGAAAGTCAACCCTTGAGGGCCCCTGTCAGACTGGGGCAGCTTTTCAAGGCAGTCCATGTCACTGTTCATATCCCGTGTCTCAGCAGGCATGAGCTTTCATACTCTGGAGAACTTGCAGTTGGAGCTATGTGCATTTTTCCTCCCCATTCCCTGCTTAGTACTGCAGGGCAGCCACAGTCCCTCTACAATTATACTGGGTTCTTCCAGGCTCCCTGGCTCTTAAGAGGCTCCCAGTGCCCTGTGTGTCCTTGACCATGCCCCACCCCTTCCTGCCTGCCTTGTGCTGCAGGCCACAGGCTGCTGGCTGCCCCCTCAGTGTGAGGCCAGCCCATTTATTTATAATTCCTGTCATAGGGCACACCCCTATGTTCACAAATGCTGGAGTAAGGGCCGGATCCTTGCAGTGTAAGCTTGGGGCTAGGGCTGAGGTTTTAGGAGTATTGTGAGCAGGAGTCAGGTGGAAGAGGAATGAAAAATAGGTGGGAGCCACAGTGTCATAGGTGGGCTCATGGTGCTGATGAGGATGGAGCTGGGTGGAGGTGCAGGGCTGAGTGTTGCTCAGGCTACTAGCTGCATACCCAGTGTATCTGGGTTATGGAGTCAGGCAAGAGGCCTGGGTTGCCAGAATACTTGGAGGAACAGATCCTGAACTAGCCAGGGGTTTTGAGAAGAGCAAGGGTTTCAGTGACTAAGTCCTTCCAGGAGCAGCAAGGCTCAGAAGGGCAGGGCTTCCTAAAGAAGCAGGGTCCTGGATGGGTGGACCTTGTGGCGAGAAGCCAAGCTCTGAAAGGGAACTGGGCTATGGGAGGAAGGAAAATGGGCTAAAGAGTGGGGAGGGTTGGGTTAGGACTGAGACTGACTCTAGCTGCATCAGCATCTACCTATCTGTATGCCTCCCATGTGTGAGGCAGGGCTTAGGTCTCAGTCTTTAGGAGAGGGTTGGGGAGTTACTGCTGTCAGCATTTGCTGGTTGTAGACAGAAGTGTCTGTCCAGCTGGGTCCCTCTGCCCTTCAGTCCCAAATAGACACACAGAGGCTTATATTAATCATAAATTGTTTGGCTGATGGCTCAGGCTTCTTATTGGCTAGCTCTCTCTTAATTATTAAACCATTTCTATTCATCTGTGTATCTCCATGTGGTCTTAATTTACCAGAGAGTGCCAGTTGTCCTATCTTCCTGGTAGCTACATGGCATGTGTCTCTCAACTCACTCTCCATTTCCTCTTCCCAGAATTCTAGTCTGGTAGCCCTACCTATACTTCCTGCCTGTCTACTGGCAAATCAGCATTTATTCATCAACCAATAAGAGAAACACATATTTACAGCACACAGAAGGACCTCCCCCATCAGCTAATGTCTGTGCAGCTGGGACCTATGTGCTGACTCATCACAGGCCCCTGTCTCAGGCCTCTGTAGTCCCTGTGCAGTTTGAGACAGCTTGGAACCTGGGACGAGGGCTCTCTAGGCCAAGCTCCAGGCCATCCTGTCATCTCTGCGTGTCTTCCTGATGCCTTTCCTACTAGGAGGAGGGCAGTGTATTGCTCACTGCTTTCTTCTCTGTTCCTCTGGGAAGTGATACTGTTTTAAAGTCTGGCCTCTGAGGGCAAAAGGCTCAGCATAGCTTCTAATGCTGTTTGAGCCCACTGCATAGGGAAAGGCCTTTAAGCTTACAGTATTCTATTAATTGTCACTCAGCATGCCCCAGTGTATCTGCAACATAGCTGGGAAGCCCTCCCAAAGTGGATGTGGCCCCCACAGGGTGAGCCCTTTAGTGACACATGCACTGCCCTAGTGAGAGCAGGGAGTCAGGGCAGCAGAAGTTGAGGGAGGTAGGGACAGCTTCTGCTTTGGTCTTCTGCCTCAGGTCCCCTGCTCATTAGAAGGGTGAACTCAGCATTGATCCAGAGTATATCAGCTTGGGAATAGCCAGAGGACTATCCCTGGTATCGTGGGGGAGTGGCTGAGTAGAAGCAGGGCTGGGCAGTCCTTGCCTAGGAGTTGTGACTTACAAAGTAGCCTCTGTCCCCAGGGATCCCAGAGACCAGTTAGCTTCCACGCAGAGCTTTCCTACTCTCTACCTCTGACAGAGGTTCCTCTGTTCCTAGTTCCTGTTGATGACAGCAGAGGAGCTGTGAAATGCCCCCTTATGCTGGCCTGCAGGGCTGCTGGAATATAGACATCAGATAGTCCCAAGGGACTACACTGATGCTCCTACTGTCCCCTTGCAGGACCTGAGCAGCCCCAGCCAGTACGACACTGGAGTGGCATTGACTGGTCTGTCCTGTTTTGTCACCCCAGATCTTGCCAGAGACCTGGCAAATGACATCATGACCCTGGTGAGTTTGTGTGTGCCTGCGCCACCCTTTCTCTTCATCTAGCAATACCCAGAACCCAGAGTTGAGCCCTCACTTTAAGGAGAGAGAAACAGGCCCTCAAAGTGGCTGGTATGTGGCTGGGGTTGGTGGGACTGCACAAAAGTTAGCCTTGCTGTCCCCTGGGTTTTCTGGATCCTGCTTGGTGGTCCCAAAGTTCATCAGTACCATGGGGCATGGGGACCAGAGCCTGCTGTCCTATCCTAAATAGATCCAGCAGGGACCCGTTCCTTTCTATTGTGGCTGCAACTGTTGTTACAGATTGTCCAGCCCATTGGGTAGAGACATGGCTTGTGTGGCTTCCCAGATAGTTGCCAGCCCTGTGAACTAGAAAATATTGTGGGCCTGTGTGGAGCCTCCCTGAATCCTGATGAGATGGGGGTACCCCCGCCAATGCCAAGACTGTCCTGGAGCAGGCTCCAGTGTGGGTGTCCTGGGGACGGGGCCACACGTTATAACCAGACCAGCTTTACAAGTGGCTTTGCATCCCTCTGTGGGCCCAGCACATCTAATGTAGGAGGGAGGCTGGCCTGGGCCAGGCTGACGTGGAAGCAGAGGACAGCAGGGCCTGCTTTAGGTTGGTTGGGGAAGTGATGTGTGAATGAGTCAGGGGTGCTGGGTGACTCTCTGGGCAGGTAAGTTGCTGACCACTCTAGTGTCCCTGCAGATGTCTCACACGAAGCCATACATCAGGAAGAAGGCAGTGTTGATTATGTACAAGGTGTTCCTCAAGTACCCTGAGTCACTGCGTCCCGCCTTTCCCCGGCTCAAGGAGAAGCTGGAGGACCCAGACCCAGGTTGGTGACAGGAAGCTCTGCCCAGCCAACTCCTTTGTGGATGGGAGGGTGGGGGCCATCTGGATCCTCACTGTAAATCTCCTTTGATCCGCAAGCCACAGTACACTGAGTGAGTTGAGACTTCCCATGGCTGCTGGGGCCTCAGGTTCCTCCTGGCCTTGGTGGATTGGTAGGTGCAGTGCAGCCAGCTTGCTATCAGGTCAGTACAGCACAGGGGCACTTTGGAACCTGTGTAGCTATGTCCAGTGAGTCAGTCTTGCCATCTCTCACCTCTGCAGAGTTGACGCAGTACAGGGCCTTACATCTAGGCCTTACATCTAGCCCAAGAGCCTGAGGGTCTCTGAGGGTCTGGGGAGCATGTGGAGGCTTTAAATGTCATTTGATAAAAGTTGTGGTAATTTAGGATTTGAGCACAGGAACATCTCTCAGGATGAGACACACAGAGTGACCACTGTGTCCTTCACAGGCTTGTGCTGCCTGGGGTCCTAGAAGCCAGCATCCTGAGACATGGTGCTGTGTGTAGCACAACTGCATGCCTTTCCAATAGAAGCCCATGGTCCCTCAGGCTGTGTGTGAGCCAGAGACCTGGAAGGAGATGGGGCTGGAAATTGAGTAAGGGGCCATGCCATGCTGCCCTTTGGCCTCCTAATGGGAGCACACTTTGCAATGGAGCAGGTCCTATGGCCCGGGACCACACAGCTTAGCATAGGCCTTTAGAGGCAGTGTGCCACAAGATCCCCAAGACTGGGGTACAAGGGACCCACTTGTCATTTTGGTCACAGGGCGGAGCAGATGGTGGGTGTGTTCACAGCAGGAGGTTCAGCCTCACAGCCTGGTGTTGGTGTTGCCCAGCCTGCCAGCTGCTGGTTGGCAGTCTGTGGAGAGAAGGCCCAGAGTGCCACATGGCTCTTCAGTGAGCTTGCCCACAGTGGGCCAAGTGCTCAGTTCATTTCCATCATGATGGCTTGTTGGTTATCTCAGGTATTTACTTGCCAGGAAAAGGCAGGAGAATTACAAGGGCATGCTGGGCTATAGGCTGAGACCACAGGCTGGGACTCAGGTGATAGAGTGCTCTCCCAGCACATACATGTTATAAGTCTGCATCCTATCCCCAGCTCCACATAGTGCAGGTATGATAACACATGCCTGGCAGTGGAGGCAGAGGGTCCTCCACAGAGTTCAAGACCAGACTGCTTCTGTGAGACCCTGCCTCAGAAAAAAGTAAGCAGAGTGGCTGGGCCTGAGTATGGTGGCACCCTTGATGGGGGAGGGGGTGGTCTTCACTACCCTGCACAGCTATTGAGCTGCCAAGAAGCCCTCCTCCCATCTCAGGGATGCAGCTCTTACTGGGGCTTCACTAGACATGACAGATGGAATGACTGGTGATCACTGGCCACTTGATTTTACCTCTCTCTAGACTCTTGGGCAAGCCAGAGCCCTAGAGAGCAATGCTGTCACCCTGGAAGCCTCAGGAGCTCCCTGGGGTGGAGGCTAAGATACTTCTGTGTGCACAAGGGTATCTATATGTGCTTCTGTGAGTGTGTATGAATGTTTTAAAGCAGGGTGTTGTTTAGCCCAGGGCTATGTGAACCTTTCCTTGGGAGAGAACAAATGTCCATTCCCCTAACCCTGCCCCTACTACTGTCAGACTGGGAAGCAGTGACAAACCAAAGAAACAATCTCACACAGGTCTGCATGGACAACTTGTGGATGGCAAGGCCACTGTGCAATCTCCCTCCCACATCAGTAACCAATCTCAAGAAAACAAAAGGGGCCAGGTGTTGGTGGTGCACCCTTAATCCCAGCACTCGGGAGACAGGCAGGTAGATCTTTGTTAGTTTGAGGCCAGGAGGGAGGGAGGGAGGGAGGGAGGGAGGGAGGGAAGGAAGGAGGGGAAGAGGAAGGAAGAAGGAAACAAAAGGGGAGGTGGGCAGTGGTAGGTAGCACTATCCACTCTTGCAGGTGACTCAGTTCAGTTTTCGGCATCCATATGGTGCCACCTGTAACTCCAGTTCCAAGGGATCTGACACCACCTTCTAGTGTTCAGGCCCTGCACATGTGTGGTGCATAGGTAGACATGCAGCAAACACGCCAAAAAATAAATGTTACTTAAAGGGCTAGGGGTAAATAAACCATTTCTGTCTTGAGCAAGAGCAGTATATCCTCTGAGCCTTGCAGGAACCATTCACTGTGTTACATGCTGACAATCACCAGTGTCCCCAGGCTTCCACAATGAGCCCTCTACCACAGGTTCTTGTTGTCCAAGGTATCCTTATAGATGGGGAAGCCTCCTTTGCTGTGATGGGGATGACCAGTTCTTTAGTTATGATTGTTACTAATGGGGACATTCCCTGTAAACAGGGATGCCCTTGTTGACAGAGATACTACCTTGGTAGCAGAATTTTTTTTTTTTTTGGTTTTTTTGAGACAGGGCTTCTCTTTGGCTTTGGAGCCTATCCTGGAACTCGCTCTGTAGGTAGACCAGGCTGGCCTCAAACTCACAGAGATCCTTCTGCCTCCTGAATGCTGGGATTAAAGACGTGCACCACCAACACCCGGCTAGAACATCCCACTCTTTGCTTATGGGAATTCATCTCTTGGTCCTCAGGGGTGCAGTCAGCAGCTGTTAATGTGATTTGTGAGCTAGCGCGCCGCAACCCTAAGAACTATCTATCCCTGGCCCCGCTGTTTTTCAAGCTCATGACATCCTCCACCAACAACTGGGTCCTCATCAAGATCATCAAGCTGGTAAGTCCAGAAGGTGGGGTATGTGCTAGGCCTGGACCCACAGTCTATGGGGATCCTGGTGACCACAGCACCCTTATCCCTGTAGTTCGGCGCTCTGACTCCCCTGGAGCCCAGGCTGGGCAAGAAACTGATCGAGCCTCTCACCAACCTTATTCACAGGTAAGCTACTGCTCGGCCACCATCTCTGGGCAGAGGCATTGGTGCTGCTCTGACATTGACCCCTCTCTACCCTGCCCTACTCGGCTCACTGACTGAGGCCAGCCTTTTTATTGTGTTTTCTTGAGGCACATTTCACTCTGTTCTTGCCTGGAATTCACACCAGTCTTCCTCTTTCATCTGTACTCCACACACCAGGCAGTGCATTCATGTTGTCCTTTACCCTTTTGGGGCTCCAGCACCATGTCATGTCTCCCTGGACTGACCCTCTAGAAGGGTGGCATAGGAGGAGCTGTAGGCTATCATGAAACTCAGGGGTAGGGGTGGGATGAGCTGGGGCTTGGCCTCAGCCTGGAAATGGGAGAAGTTAAGTGTTGGACTGTATACCCTGCCTGGGAGGACCACAGTGATCACCCCTGTGTCACAGGGCTTTAGAGGGACAGCAATAGTATTGTTTCCATGGAGTGTAGCAGAGTGACCTTATTTATGTTTAACATTACTTGCTGGGTCCTCTGCTTTCCTCTCTTTCAGCACCTCTGCCATGTCCCTGCTGTACGAGTGTGTGAATACTGTGATTGCAGGTGAGTGTGCTGACCCTGCTAGGAAGTTACTCGTGTGTATGTGTGTGGGGGGGGTATATTAGCTCCCTTTTGAGCTGCTACCATATATGAAAGGCTGAGGGCCCTCTTGCTGGAAGGAGCTGAGAGCCTGAGCTGTCTAAGACCCAGAGCATCTCCTGAATGAGGTGGATGCCTCCTGCCCAAGTCCTCTGGTGCTGGTGTAAACTCAGGTCTCTGCATAGCTCATCTCCTAGCCCTTCCTCAGGCCTCTTTGCAAATTTGAGAGGTAATTCTCCCATGTGGGTTCAGAGCCCAAGACCTTGGATGGATAACATCCTACTTTTCTGGGCTTCCTCCAGGCTCCTGCAGTAGAACTGAACTGAGATAGTCATATCACCCAGAGATCACATAGGAACAGGTGGCCTAGGAAATTGAGCACAGACTGTAGCACTGGGAAGGCTGAGACAGGCAGATCCCTGGAGCTTGCTGGCAGCCTCTTTAGTCAATGGCCAGTGCTCTCTAGGGTCAGTAAGAGACCCTGTCTCAAAAAACCAAGTGGGAAGGATTGCAAGGGTTGCCTGCTACTCTCACCTTTGTCTTCACACCTGCACACAACATACCCAAAATAGACTTAGGACTTGAGCCCAGCGTCCTAGGGCTTGTGATTGAGTGTGGCTGCCCTGCCTTGGAAGAGAGAGGAGAGAGAAGGAAAGGGCATGAAGGTGTGAGTTCCCAGGTGAGGTCTCAAGGCCATAGTGATGACAGGAGAGTCCTGAGACTCTCCTGGCCACCCCCAAGGCTATACCCAATGACAAGACCCAGCTGTCAGCCTCAGGAAGAACAGTTAGGGCTTCTGAAACCCTCCCTGGGAGTCAGATCATGCTGTGTTCTCAGCCATCGCTGTAACGTGTGGATTGTTGTCATCTGAGGGTTCCCCAAAATCTTCAGCACTCAGGGTTTTTGTGAGGTCTCGGGCTGCTCTGCCCAGCATAGGTCTGCACCCCAGACCCCAGAGAGGAACAGGGACTGTGTGAACCTGAATTAGATACCAGTACTTCAGGCCCAAGAGTTGCTCCTGTTTGGGAGGGTGGAAAAGCCAGGCCAGATTCCCCTGGCTCCCCATGACCCAGCTGGTCCAGCTGTCTTCTGTAACACATCCATCTCAAGCCTCCTGTGAGCCAGGCAGTCAGACCCCTGTTGGTGGGAATGGGTTCGTAGGATACCAAGTGTCTGACATAGGGTTACTAACCTCAATCTCCATGTGTCCCAGTGCTCATCTCGCTGTCTTCTGGCATGCCCAACCACAGTGCCAGCATCCAGGTGAGTCTCTGGGAAGACAGGGCCCACACAGATCAGCAGAGCTGAGTCTTATGGGTGGCCAGGCCCCAGGCCTCCTAAGCCAGTTGGGAAACCGTTGTGGTGCTCACCTCCAAGTTCATTTTTTACAAATAGCTGAAGTAGATAGAAGTCCTCTAGCTCTCCCTTAGGTACTTCCTTTCCCTACTACTCTTCCACGCTCTGTGGGGACCAGATACAGTCTGCCTGGGCAGCTGCTGTGAACATGGGATGTTCCCAGTTGCCCTCACTGGCACCTGCAGATCCATTTTGTCATGCTGATCAGGGCCCCCAGTAAGAAGGCTGCAATCACCTGCCCTCCCTGTACCCAGATGCATGCCCTTGGTCAGGGCTGGTAGGCTGCAGGGCATGGTGGTGGGGTGGAGACCCACTTGAGCCCTGCCTGGGAAGATATGACTGGTGTGGCATTCCTCCTCAGCTCTGCGTTCAGAAGTTGAGGATACTGATAGAAGACTCAGACCAGAACTGTAAGTCACCACCACCTACCAGGCGGCTACACTAGAATGCCATGCCTGGGATTCAAAAATCCCATACCTGGGGACCCTCTGCCCTTCTGCTGTCCTCATGCTTTCCAGCATGATGGCTTTGTGGGTCGAGTGGTAGCATTCACTATGGGGAGGGGGCACCCTGAAAGTTGGGGGCTGTGCTGAGTAGTGTGGAGACAGCAAATGTGAAAATGATCTAGGCTGGGCTCACGCTTAATTGTTTGAGCACACTAGTGTTCCAGACCTCAGGGTTCAAACCTACCTGCACTCAGAAACTAGGTGAGGGCCATAGGCTTCAAGGTCATGTTCGGCTCCCTAATGAGGTCAAAGCTTGTCTCAGAAATAAATACTGTAGGATCTGTGCCTGAGGCCACAGCTGCATTTTAGCAAGCAGGAGACTGTGGCAGGGGAGTCAGGAGTTCAGGACTAACTTGGTTCTACAGCTTGACCTGTCTGAAAACAAAACAGGGGCCTAATGAGATGGTTCAGTGGATAAAAGGGTTTGTCACCAAACCTGATGCCCTGATTCCTTCCTTCCATGGATCCCATGTGGTGGGAAGAAAAATGACTCCTACAAATGGTTTTCTGGCTGTCTTGGAACTTGCTGGGATTGAAGGTGTGTACCACCATGCCCCACAGGGTTTTGCTGTTTTTTGGTTACACAGACAGGGTTTCTCTGTGTAACCCTGGCTGTCCTGGAACTCACTCTGTAGACCTGGCTGACCTTGAATTTACAGAGATCTACCTGCCTCTGCCTCCCAAGTGCTGGGATTAAAGACGTGCACCACCAACTGCCGCCAGTATATGTCACCACCACCCAGCTCAGCAGGGTTCTTTTTTAATATACATATTTTCACATTCCTCATAAGTTTGTGTCATTCATAAGTATGGTGTTCATGTGTGGGTCTGTGCTCGGAAATGTCAGTATTTGAGGAAATGGAGACACCTGATGTCCTGGAGCTGGAGCTACAGTCAGAGCCCCACATGGGTGCTGGGAACCACACTCATAGCCTCTGGAGGAACAGTACACACCCTACTACTGAGCCATCACATATTGCACATAGGGGTTCTCAGCCTGCCTAGTCCACCAATTGGCTGTGATTGGCCATGGTATTCCACTCTGTATGAAAGCTAATGATCACTTGGTCTCCACAGTAAAGTACCTGGGCCTGCTGGCCATGTCTAAAATTCTGAAGACGCACCCCAAGTCAGTGCAGTCTCACAAGGACCTGATCCTGCAGTGCCTGGATGACAAGGATGAGTCCATCCGCCTGCGCGCCCTTGACCTGCTCTATGGAATGGTGTGTGTTCCTTTTCCCAGAATAGGAAGCCTTTGGAGCTTCTGGGTCACTCCTCTCCAGGCTGGGACAGCAGCCTGAACCACTGAGGTCAGCAGATGGCACCTGTCCAATCTATAGGGAATGGGGCCTCAGTCACCTTCCCTTGGTCAGACATGATAAGCTGACTCACATGCCCAGTGTGACTTCTGCTGCCTGGGGAAGAAGCTGTCCTTCTGGGCTTATGAGCTCAATCTTGGCTGTTATCTCACAGCTGGCCATGTCCACCTGTGTTGACCAACAAACTCTTCTCCCACAGGTATCCAAGAAGAACCTGATGGAGATCGTGAAGAAGCTGATGACCCATGTGGATAAGGCTGAGGGCACCACCTATCGAGATGAGCTGCTTACCAAGATCATTGACATCTGCAGCCAGTCCAATTACCAGCACATCACTAACTTTGAGTGGTACATCAGCATCCTTGTGGAGCTGACTCGTCTGGAAGGTACCCGCCATGGTCATCTCATCGCTGCACAGATGCTGGATGTAGCCATCCGCGTCAAGGCCATTCGCAAATTTGCTGTGTCTCAGATGTCTGCACTACTTGACAGTGCCCACCTGGTAGCCAGCAGCACCCAACGCAATGGCATCTGTGAGGTGCTCTACGCTGCTGCCTGGATCTGCGGGGAATTCTCAGAGTGAGTCAGGGCGGCCCTCAGAGGTGTCTCACTATGGCCTGGTGGGGAGGACATGTGGGCAGACCCTCTGCCTGAAAGATGGTTACTACTGGGTAGCCCCACCAGAGTGATTGACTGTCTCCCTCCATGGCATGGCTTGGCCATGTGGGTCACAGAGGCTGTGGAGAGAGTGCCCTCTAGTTCATAGACCATGAACAGATCTGTTGTGTCTCAAGAGTCGTCCTAGCTGGGCAAGCTGCCACCCTCAGCCCACCAGCCCAGAGATTGCCCTGGTAGATATTGCCCTGGTAGATCTCCATAGGATAGCTGCTTTACTCTCATTACAGACTACAGGAGATGTGGGTGGGTGGGCTAAGATGGCTGTAGCACTTCAGACCACATCATACACATGGCTCAAAGGACATGACAGCTGTGACCCAGAGCAGGTATGGATTTGTTGTTAAAATATCCAGGCTGTCCAAGAAGTCTAATGGAAAAGTAACATTTACTTAGCACCTCCTATTGCCCCAGGGTCATCCACAGCAGCTGCCTGTCATTGCCCTTTGAGGATCCAGTGGGGAGTCTCCTCTCTGAATCCCACAAGGCAGCCAGCCACAGAGTGCACATGGATGCCTGGAGAAGTTTACTGATGAGTCTGGATTTGTTGTGTTGGGAATTGAACCAGGGCTTTGTTCATATCAGGCAAATGCTCATTACCAAGAACATTTATGGCAGCAAGTAAGCCATACAGGTCTTCTGTGTCTACCAGTGATGGTACCATGTTTGCCTTGCTTTCTTGAACCATGTCCCTTTTTGTGGAATTCATGGTTCTTGGTTGTCTGCTTCTGCTCAGTGAAAGTGAGTGCCCCGAGTTTATTTTTGCTGAGAAGCCTAGTGCCCCACATCCTTGGTCTGGCTTCCTTGGGAGATAGGCCTGTGAGTGTGCTCAGTAGCCTCATGCAGCTCCTGTCCCCCAGGCACCTACAGGGACCCCAGCAAACCCTGGAGGCCATGCTGCGGCCTAAGGTCACCACACTGCCCGGCCACATCCAGGCTGTGTATGTGCAGAACGTGGTAAAGCTGTACGCATCCATCCTGCAGCAGAAGGAGCAGGCTGCGGACACTGAGGCTGCACAGGAGGTCACCCAGCTTCTGGTGGAGCGGCTGCCACAGTTTGTACAGAGTGCTGACCTGGAGGTGCAGGAGCGGGTAAGGCCTGCAAGCTGGAGATTCTGCTCACAGTTGAGACTAAACCTTACAAGGGCAGTTTCAGAGAGGGTTCATGCCCTGAGACCACATCCTGGGCTGGCATGGTGTCAAGTCAGGAGTAGAGCTGCTTGCTCACAGCATACAGGCAACAGGGCCTTCAACATAGCTACCTCCTAAAGATCCCATAGCTTCTGCTGGGATCCCACCTCCTGCTCGGATCCTCTGTGAATATGTTTGCCCACACAGCTGGGTCTGGACTCACAGGACACATAGTGTTACGAAGGAGATATGTTATCTGGAGATGCTGTTGGTTCTCTTCTAGGTCCTTGTCTCAGACAGTCAGTAGGTGGGAGGGATTTTTTTCCTTTTCCAAAGTGAATTGTTGAAGTCTATTCTAGCCTTGCCCATCTGGGGCTTAGGGTATATGAACAGGGATTGTGGTGTGGATGGGCCTGAGAGTCAGCCTTGGAGGTAGGCAAGGCCCTGCTACTGTTCTGGGAATGCTGGTTTAGGACCCCCTTTGTTCTGGGGCAGTGCTTGAACCAGGAGCTCATGTGTCTGAGGCATGTGCTATGTCATTGAGTCATACACAACATGAAACAGCAGATGGCTAAGGTCCTGGGCTGACACCTGGACATTGGGGCCCAGTCGCCAAGACTGCTCCTGGCACCCCATGGTAATGTAGGTTCTCGCTAAACCAAGTGCCATGTGGCTTCTCTAGGTCTCTGGGGTCAGGTGTGGGTGCTGACCCATCCATGGTTGAGGAACTGGCCCAGCCTGAGTCCTGTGGGAAGTAGGGGCCCACCCTGAGCCACACCTTGATGTTGTTGGGACTGATTGTGTGGCATGGTAGCAAGGACTGCCTGATAAAGCTGTGTCTGTAGAATTAGAGCCAGCACAGGAGTGAATGGCTATAGGTGGCCACACAGGAGGTGACATTAGCTGAGCTCCCTCCTGTTCTGACTTGGGTAGGGCTTGTCTCTCCCCATCTGAGATGGTCAGACATGATGAGATCTGTGGCTGAGCTAATGGGGAGGACAGTCCCCAGCACCTCATCCTCAGATACTTGGCTAGCTAAGTGGCTCTGGGCAGGCCCCCCACTCTTGGTTGCTGCTCCCCTAGGCGTCCTGCATCCTGCAGCTTGTCAAGCATGTGCAGAAGCTACAGGCAAAAGGTGTGCCGGTAGCCGAGGAAGTGAGCGCCTTGTTCGCTGGTGAACTGAACCCTGTGGCCCCCAAGGCCCAGAAGAAGGTCCCAGTTCCTGAAGGGTGAGGATTGGGGATGTGGGGGGTGATGAGGTTACAGCCACTGAAGTGGTCACTGATGTAGGAGCTTGTACACCCCAGGACCTGTCACTAGCCAGGGAAACAAGAGATGGCCCTACAGCCAAAGCCATTCTGTCCTGGTGCTGTTGTATCCCTATTCCCTGGTCCTCTGGGAGTATCATTGCCTGTCATGGTCCTGCCAAATTGCATGTTTCCTGTCCTACTTTGCTGTTTTCCTCCCAGGCTTCTTGCCTTCCCATCTGTGTCTTCTCTCTGGGGCTGTAGCATCCTTCCTTGCCTGGTCCCTGTGATGTTGATGTTGAGAGATGGCACAGATGCATGGTGGGCCAACATGGAGAAGACCAGACCACCATGTGACACACCATCCCCCCACCCCCCCACCCCCGTACATCCCAGCCTAGACCTGGATGCCTGGATCAATGAGCCACCTTCAGACAGTGAGTCTGAGGATGAGAAACCCAAGGCCATCTTCCATGAAGAGGAGCCAAGGCATGCACGGCGCCGGCAGCCTGAGGAAGATGAGGAGGAGCTGGCCCGGGTGAGCATGCCAATTCAGGAACACCCAGCACAGGGCAGAAGCTCAGCTTGGGCTCTGTTCACAAAGATTATCTGATTGTCAGGCCTAGGGGCACCTGAGGCTCTGTTATGCGGCCAGACACAGCCTATGACACAGGTCAGAGGACCCTTAGGGTCCACCTTGTCCTCCTGTCTGGAACCGCCCCTCTCATGAGCTCCCCTTCCTGGGCCTTCAGCAGGAACACTAGAGTGGGCTTGTAAGCCTTCAGGAGTAGGAATAGAAGGCAGGAGCTATGGCTCAGGGTGGTCAGACCCAGGCCAGTTTTACTCCCAGGAGGCCTGAACCTTGGGCAGTCTGCCCATTCATGAGCACTGCTCCCGGGAGATAGGTGCAGCAGTTGGCCTTCCCCAGAGCTCTGCCCCTTGAGGTGATCCTCATGTTCCTTGCTGTGACCTCTCCCTGCCTACCTGGGTTTTGGTACTTCTCTGACACACGTGCTCATGTGGTGTCCTGTTCCCACAGCGGCGAGAAGCCCGGAAGCAGGAGCAAGCCAACAACCCTTTCTATATCAAGAGTTCCCCGTCCCCACAAAAGGCAAGTGTCTTCCTTGAGCATTCACTCATCAGCTGCCATACAGAAGCCTCCAAGAGAGTAATGTAGTTATGGCCTATGCATGTATAGTCCCAGCTGCAGCTGAGCAGAGCTGTGCTGCATCCAGGTCTTGGTATGATGTAAATGGTGTCCATCTAGACTTCCTTGAGGTGGGTGCTCTGTCCTGCTGGCCCTTTGCACCCACAGAAAATGCTAGCCTGTCAGTCCTTTGCAGTCCCTCAGGGACCTAGGTGGTTTCAGCTTTTGTGGGCAGATCCTGCAGTGGTATCAGGGTCACTGTTGTTCTTTTGCTGCAGCTGTTGCCTATGAAACACAAACGAGAGACTCAGTGCCCACATGAAGTTTATTGAGAGAGGGGGGAGGGGGAGTAGCTGGTGGCCAACGGAAAGCAGGGGGGGGAGAGAGAAAGAGGGGGGGGGGAGACAAAAAGCAAGAGAGAAAAGGCAAGAGAAAGAGGCGTGCTTACTTTAAAAAGGGAAATTTGCGCATGCGTAACTGAGTCCCCTGGCAGCCAGGTAAAGACTGACTAGAGATGACATGGCCATGAGCATCCCCCACCCATCGTCGGGGGGCGGGGTCAGCAGACTGCTGGTTCCCAACAATCAGGTATGGTCAAGGAGGAATGTTCATAGCACCCCAGGGTGCAAAGAACACCTGCTCCAGGGTTAAGTGTTTATTACTTTCATGTTTTGGAAAAGTCAGCAATTGGCTGTGTGGGTGGAGCCCAGCATGCATGAGCCCTGGGTCCCATCCGTAGCACCACATAAAGCAGGTATGGTCACCCAGTATTCAGGAGACAGGAGAAGCAGAAATCTAAGGCTCCCTTGGCTACATAATGAGGTTGAGGCTGGCCTCAAATTCCTGTGTCAAGAAAAAAAGTAACAACGATGGATAGACTTAGGTGTGAAAAAAAGACTAGAGCCAGTCCTTCCTCCTCATAGCCCATGATATCACATTCTAGGGTTGTGGTCCCAGGTCCCAGTCTGTCTCTCTAGGATCTGGAGCACATGAGTAATGCTCTTGTGCTGCATGTGGGGCCATCACCCTCTGGAACACAGTTCCCTTCTTCCTGCCTCCTGAGTCCTCGAAGCACATTAACACCCTGTGGTCCCTTCAGCGATACCAGGATGCACCAGGTGTGGAGCACATTCCTGTGGTGCAGATCGACCTCTCAGTGCCTCTGAAGGTTCCAGGCAAGTGTCTCCTCGTTGAAAGATTACCTGTGGGATGTGATGGGATTCCAGGTGTCTCTGAGCTCTGGCCATCCACATGTCCTCATAGGCCTGCCCATGTCAGACCAGTATGTAAAGCTGGAGGAGCAGCGGCGGCACCGGCAGCGACTGGAGAAGGACAAGAAGAGGAAGAAGAAGGAGAAGGGGAAGCGCCGCCACAGCTCCCTGCCCACAGAGAGCGATGAGGACATTGCCCCTGCCCAGCGCGTGGACATCATCACTGAAGAGATGCCTGAGGTCAGTTCCTGTCAGCCCTGATGGTAAGACTTGTCTGTGTGTCTCTAAGAGGGCAGGAGGCAAGAGGCTGGCTCACTTTGAGCTGATGACCACACTGAACCGCACAGTTACCTGTCATAGAAGCTCTCGATGATGGGCATGGTTTTACTTCACTCTGTGAGCTGCCAGCCACAGCCCCGGTACCTTGGTTATCTGGCATGTGTGGGTATGGGCATGACTGGCCAGAGAGTTGTGTTATTTGGGGCAGAAGTGACAGAAGGACATTGTGGTTGCTAGTTGACTGAGCCCTGACCTCTCCATCCCCCAGAATGCTCTGCCTAGTGACGAGGATGACAAAGACCCCAATGACCCCTACAGGGCGCTGGACATTGACCTAGATAAGTAAGTGATGGGTGAGGAGCAGATGGAAGACTCCCAGGGGGGTGCTGAGAAAATCCTTGGCCATGCAGGGGCACTGCATTGATGGCCTGGTATAGTGCCTGCTGTGTAAATGTGAAGGCCTAAGCTCATCCTGCAGCACTCATTAAAAGTCACAGAGACAGCAGACCCCTGGAGCTCACTGGCAGCCAGTCTGCTGAATGAAAGAGCTCCAGGTTCAGTGAACGAGAGACCTTGGCTGGGTGGTGGTGGTGCATGCCTTTAATCCCACTGGGGAGGCAGAGTCAGGTAGTTCTCTGAATTCGAGTCCAGCCTTTTCTCCAGAGCAAGGCTCCAGGACAGGCTCCAAAGCTACACAGGAAAAAAAAGGGGGGGAGATTGGGAACAGAGGGAGAGTCGGGGGAGGGAGAAAGAGAGACAGGAGAGAGGAGGAAAGGAGACCGTGCCTCAAAAGATATAGTAGAGAGTAGCAGGAAAACACCTGACACCAGCCTCTGCCCTCTGCACCAGCACGCAGACCCTCACATCCCACATGGGCATAGACATACTGTATACATCCAAAAAATGCTGAAGGAGAAACTGGGATGCTTGGGTGTGAAGGGAGTAGGACCAGTGTTCCCAAGACCATAGCTGACGTGGGTATTTGTTGTAGCCTCAGGATTTGTAGGGCCAGCAGTCCCAAAGAGTGGGCCACAGCTCAGCCTGGTAACCCCATGTCCCCTCCTCCCCCAAGGCCCTTGGCTGACAGCGAGAAACTGCCTGTCCAGAAACACAGGAATGCAGAAACTGTGAAGTCACCAGAGAAAGAGGGCGTCCCTGGTATAGAGAAGAAGAGCAAGAAGCCCAAAAAGAAGGAGAAGAAGCCCAAAGAGAGAGAGAGAGAGAAGAAGGACAAGAAAGTATGCACTCGGATCTCCAACCTTAGTGCAAAGCTAGGGCTTTCGGGTAGGGGTGGTATCTAGAGCTCAGGGCTGTGCACATGCTAGGTAAGTGCTCGCCCTGCCACATCCACAGGCTGCTTTTCGTTTGTTTGCTTTTTTGGTTTTTGTTTTTTTTTTTGAAGATGGGGGCCTCACTTTGTAACTCTGATTGTCTTGCAACTCATATATAGGCCAGGCTAGACTCAAACCACAGAGATCTACCTGCCTCTGCCTCCCAAGTGCTGGGACTAAAGGTGTGTGCCACTACACCCAGCTCCCAGGTGCTTTTTACATTGCATTTTGAGACTAGATCTCACTGAGTTGTCCAGGCCTTGAATTTGCAATCCTCCTGCCTCAGCCTCTTGAGTAGCTGAGATAATAGGCCTGTTTAAAAATAGACTTTATTTTTTTGTTGAGTGCTTGGATACAGCCCAGGATCCCACCAATACAAGGCAGCCTCTGAGGTGTAGCTCGGTGTGGTATTTTGGAGACTGCCTACCAGTCTACTGTCCCAGCTGCACCACTATGTCAGCTCACAGACAAGACAGATTCCAGCACTCAGGAGGCTGGGAGAGGATTGCCCAGACTTCTAGGCCAGCCTGAACTACTGCTGCTTTGCTGCAAGGTCTCTCCAGTCACCACTTAGCCCAGCACTGTCTTTCCAAATGGCTGCTGGCTGTTGCTGCCATCTTGGCAGAAGTTATGCAGCTGAGCACCTGTGTGGGTCCGTCAGAGCACTTGCCATGCTACATAGCAGGCTGGTCAGGGTCAAGAGGACAAGAATGGCAACCAGCTAGAGATCAGCCCTTGCCCCTGGTGCTCCCTACCTTTGCCAAAAGTGCTCTTCTTGTGGCTTCAGGGCGAGGACTTAGACTTCTGGCTATCCACCACCCCGCCACCTGCTGCTGTCCCTGTTCCTGCCCCATCCACAGTAAGTGCCTATCCCATGTGTCCTCTGAGGACTCAGCTATTCATTCCTGCAGGAGCCAGTTAGTGGCAGGCATCTCCTCTGAAGGCCTGGAGCCATGCACAGGTGTCAATAAGTGGAGTCCAGCCCAGTGGGATGTCCTGGGTTAGGCCTATGTCTGCTATCCTGTGGGATTCTACTTAGCAAGGCTCAGTGAGACAGTGGTGACCACAAGCCCTCAGATGGGGACAGAGCTGGTTAAGTGGGACTCAAGGTTCCCTTGTTCCTTCTCAAGCTGGAACCCTCAGAGCAATCAGGGGAAGACCATCCCATTCCCCATCCATCCTAAGAAAACACCTTGACATTCCTGGTTTTGCAGGAAGAGTTTTCTGTGAGCACTGTTGCCCCAGATAAAGATGAGGGTGAAGAACTCCAGAGAGAAGAGCCGGAGGATGAGGAGGACAACATGGATCGTGACCAGGAAAAGGTGAGGTGTATGCCACCAGCCACTTCCTTGAAAAGTGACTGCAGTCCACATGCTTTACCCTCTGAAAAGAAAGGACCCTAGTATTTCCAGAGCAGTTTCTAAGCTGTGCAGTCAAACTATCTCATTCCAGAACCTTCTACTCCCCAATAGGAAGCCTCACCTCATGAGCAGTCTGCCACACCCCCTTCTGAACCTCTGTCACCCTTGAACCCACTTGCTGTCTCTGGATCGCCTGTTCTGTACATTGGCTGTCATGGAGTCCCACACTAGGTGGCCTCTGGTGGTGGCTCTTGAATTGAGAACATCTTTTTTTTTTTTTTTTTTTTTTTTTTTTTTAAGATTATTTTAAGCCAGGTATGGTGGCACATACCTAAGAAACCCCGTCTAAATGCCCCCCATCTAGGTTATTATTTTAGTTGTGTGTGTGTGAATGTTACACCATGGGTCCTAGGATCTGAACTGAAGTCTTTGTGATTGAGCAGCAAGTACTCTTAACCACCAAGCCATCAACCCAGACCCAAGCCGTACATGTGTGTGTTTGAGACAGAGTTTCTCTGTGTAGCCGTGGCTGCTCTGGAACTCACTCTGTAGACCAGGCTGGCATCAAATTTACAGAGATCTACCTGCCTCTGTTTCCCAAGTGCTGGGACTAAAAGGTGTGCCACCCCATTTCTTAAAGTCCCTCTACACTGTGGAGGGAGCCTTGCTCCTGTTGCTGGCTATATTATGCTTTAGTGTGTGACTGGACCTCGTGTCTGTCATCCATCCTTACATATTGGGCCATTTGCCCCTGGCTGATGTGAACATAGGCGCATCTCTTTGTAAGCGCTCCTTTCTCTGTGGTGTGGCCAGGAGAGCTGTGGTCCCCATGCAGTGACAGTCTCACTGATCTGTGATGTTCATTCCCATACCCTCCGAGCAGCTCCTGCCACTGACCTGTTAGCCCAAGGTTCTAGTATCTGAGGCCTGGCCTCCAACCCCAGTGACCTGTGGGGTTCCTGGCTTTGCTGTCCTACTTGCTCCCCATCCCCGTGACTGCCGCCTTGTAATGAGAGGGGAGAGAATGACAGGGTGCCTCTTGCTGGAGACGAGGGGCCTGAGCCCAGACTCTGCTTCAGAAATCGTCCCGGCACAAGAAGAAGAAACATAGGAAAGAGAAGGAGGAGAGGCCACGAGACAAAAAGAAAGTCAAGAAGAAGCAGGCTGCACTGCTGGAGAATGGTGCGACAGAGGAGGAGGAGCCCATCCCGGTGAGCACGCTCACCACCCTGTCACCTCAACCTTGAAACCTGGGTTCCATTCAGAGAGAACTCAGAGCCTCTAGAAGCTGTGTTCTATGGTGGGAGCCATGACCCAGTATCATCTGGTGGCTCTTGTGATTGTGTCCCTGTCCCATGAGATATCTGTGAACAACCAGTGCCCTGTCACCCACAGCTGACACTGTCTCTCCTCCCCCAGCCCATGTCCAGCTACTGCCTTCTGGCTGAGAATTCCTACATTAAAGTGGTAAGTGACACTGGGCTGCTAGAGGAAGGGGCCCTTTGCTGGGGGAGCAAACTACCTTGAGAAGCCTTCCAGGGATGGCAGCAGTAGCCAGGCTCCAACCTCAAGCAATGGCCCAGTCATTGCCATCAGCATAGGATCACCATGGCCAGCAGACCAGCCACAGATGGAGAGCCCAATGTGGCCAGGCCACCAGAGGACAACATTGCTAACGGGACAAAGAACAGCAGTGGCAGCATACACATTGGGCCAGAGGCAGGAGGATTGCAAGCTTGAGGCCAGCTAGGACTACATTACAAAACTTCATCTCTAAGAATTAAGACAAGGGCTGGGGGTGTAGCTTCATGAAGAGTGGCCACATGTTGAGGGTGGGGTCCTGGGGACCCACAGGCAGCTTTCACAGAGGAGTCCCTGTTGTTGATCTTGGCCGGGAGCTCACTCCCTTATCTGGTCCCTGGTGCTTGGACCTGCCATTGCTCATGCAGACATATGACATCCAAGCCAGCCTACAGAAGGACAGCCAAGTGACCGTGTCAGTCATCCTGGAGAACCAGAGCAACAGCTTCCTGAAGAACATGGAGCTGAATGTGCTGGACTCACTCAATACAAAGATGGCTCGGCCAGAGGGTTCATCAGTGCATGATGGTGTGCCTGTGCCTTTCCAGCTACCCCCTGGTGAGCCTGCCCATCAGCACTAGTGTTCACCATGCAAGCCAGCTCTGCTCCTTACCCCCTTTATTACCTGGGCTCCTGCACAAGGTACCTAACTAGAGCTCCTGGGGACAGCCAAAGCCACAGGCCCCACACCACTCTTAGGACACTGTGAAGCCCCACATGCTGAGGTCCCTGGGACATGGCTGGGGTCTGTGGCCAGCAGCAGGAGCCCATTGTGTTTCTGTGACTCTCCAGCATCCCAGCCAGATATGACACTCTAGAATCAGTGCTGGCTCAAACCCTGGGCCCCACTGAGTGTCATGTCTCCCATCAGGAGTCTCCAATGAGGCCCAGTTTGTGTTCACCATTCAGAGCATCGTCATGGCCCAGAAACTCAAAGGCACACTGTCCTTCATTGCCAAGGTATGCACTGGGGCCCCAGCGGCCATGGTCAGTGCTGAGGAGCCCACTCTACACTGGGCTCCAGTTCCTTTGCCCTGCCCCAGTGGATGTCAGGCATCCCAGGAAAGGGATCGTATACTTAGGAAGTCACCCCACAGCTGCAGCTTCCCTCCTCACAGGACAATGAAGGGGCCACCCATGAGAAGTTAGACTTTCGGCTGCATTTCAGCTGTAGTTCCTACCTGATCACCACTCCCTGCTACAGGTATGTGCGCCTCCACCCCACCAGGGATGCCTCCCAGGCTGTGGGGGTACCCAGACAGCAGTTTGGTGTGGGTTGTGAGGTGACGGTCCCTGTGAAAGTGTTTGAACCATCATCACAGGTGCCTTCAGCTCCAGACACAGTCTGCCACTGTCCTGGGTGCTGGTTTCTCCTGAGACCACCCTCTTCCTCTGCCAGGTCTGTCCCCAGAGGATTATACTATGTGCTGGCTTCTGATGGTTTCACTAGCCCAGGCTACCTTGCAACTTGAAGCAGTCCTCCTGCCTCAGCATTCCTAGTGCTGTGGTGACAGGTCTGATACCCCGGCCCTGCCATCACCCTCCATTCTGTCCTCCCACAGTGATGCCTTTGCCAAGTTGCTGGAGTCAGGAGACCTGAGCATGAACTCTATCAAAGTCGATGGCATTAGTATGTCTTTCCAGAACCTCCTGGCAAAGATCTGTTTCCACCACCACTTTTCCGGTAAGCAGTGTCACAGTGATACCGGTTTCATCCCACAAATGTCACAGGTCCTCTCTGCCCAGGGCCTTGAGCTACCACCCCCAAGTGCCATCTCAGCTGGGCCCCAGCTCTTGGCACCCCTGGAGGGGGCCCTGCCAGGAATTGTGAGCCTGACTCTCCCATCTGTTGGCAGTTGTGGAGCGAGTAGACTCCTGTGCCTCCATGTACAGCCGCTCGATCCAGGGTCACCATGTCTGCCTGCTGGTGAAGAAGGTGAGCTCACTGCAGCAGACCAGGCAGTCTTCAGGGAGAGGCTGAGCCTTCTTATTCCTGTCCAGGGCTGTTCCCCCAGTTAGACTAGCCCCCCCCCAGCTCCACCCACCCCCATAGTTGTATTAAGTCCCTCCCAGTGCTATGCCAAAACCTGCAGTTGCATCAGGCCCCCACCTGGTGATACACAGGGCAAGAGGAAGGAAAGTGGGGGGTGGGCTCAGCTCCATCTCAGACCCATGACAGGTAGGCCATGTGCTGCATACCTGCCACCCAAATACTGTGGAGACAGCAAAATTAATGAGTTTCCAGCTACTCGGACTATGTAGCTTCAAAAAAATAAAGTGAGGCCTAGGCCCCAGATGGGGGGAGGAAGGGTGGCATTTGCAGCCATAGCACCACCTCCCACCAGGGCATGGGCAGTACATGCATGTGACTGTCCCCTAGGGTGAGAGCTCCGTGTCAGTAGATGGGAAGTGCAGTGATGCCACACTGCTCAGCAGTCTGCTGGAAGAGATGAAGACCACGCTGGCCCAGTGCTGAATGATGGAGTCCAGGATGCCCAACACACTATGGACAGATGTGATGGGTCTTGCCTCTCCTCTCCTTTGTCAAATGTAGTGTCCCCACACCCAGCATTAATTTAACACCACTGGCCTCCACTGTGTGACTCTGAGGTCCTATGTTGCATCAACTTATTTTATTATCCTTTTTTATTCCAAACCGCACTCCTTTGGCAAAAGAGGCCATTCCAACCCTAGCCAGCAAGGAGCTCCCAGCTATGAGGACTCCAGGCTGGTGGGCCTCCAGAGTTCCAGCACACAGTGGGGCTGATGCAGCCCCACTTTTCTGCCCCAATCTGCTTCTGGAGAAACCCCTCCAGCTGCTGCTGTCCCCAAATATCCTGACTGGTGGTATCTGTGGAGAGGTGACCAGGCCAGCTATTACCATGCTTCTCCCCAGAGTCTGCGTGGCCAGATGGACGAAGTTTACTTGTGGGTGTCTGCAGCTCAGCGGCTGACAGTACAGACAGCCCTTTGATTTTCTTCTATTCAACAGAATTCGCATGGAGTTCTGTTGGGGACAGTGGTCAGCAGAAGTGTGCAATCCATGCCCCTCAGTTTGTCACTACACATCTTGGGTTTGTTCCTGCCCTATGCCACAGCTGTGGAGTGCTGAGTGCCAGTGCCTTGCAGTGGAGGGTATGTTTCCTGGGAGCATTCAGTGCTCACCCAGGTTTTCCAGGGCAAGCAAGGTGAAGGGACCCCAGCCTGGAGACTCCCTATAGCTGGGTAGCTGGGCACAAGCTGAGCCTTCCTCAGAGGTGATGGTGGTCTACACACATTCTGGCTGATCCTTTGAGGACTACTGTCACTTTAGCATGTAGAGTACTCTGTTATGGACCCCACATGACCCTCCAGCTCTATGATGTTCCATGATTGATTTGCTGTCGACATTCCCATGTGAAGAGAGATATATCACGATGCTGATGATCGGTGTCATAATGACCCAATAAAGAGTCTCAAAACACGTTTGCATGCTATGTCCTTAAGGTAACCCAGAGCTGTGCCCATTGTGCCCATTCAGGTGGTACATTGAGTTCCCCCAACCTCCACGCATGGGTGCTATCTCCCATGTTTTTGTGTATGTGATGTAAGTGCTTTGTGTGAGTATGAGTGCAGAGCCAAGAACAATTGTCCTGCTCCATCACTCTCCATTCACAGTGCTGGGATTCAAACTCTGGTCCTTAGGCATGTCCAGCAAATGCTGTTGTTCACTGAACCATCTCTCCATTTTTCCTTTTAAAAAAAGATTTTAAAATGAAGTTATGTAGCTGGGCAGTGGTGGTGCAGTCTTTTAAAATCTCAACACTTGGGAGGCAAAGGAAGGGGGATCTCTGAATACGAAGCCAGCCTAGTTTACAGTGTGAGTTCCAGAACAGCCAGGGCTACAGAGAGAAGCCCTGTCTTAAAAACAAAATTATCGTGTGTCTGTGTATCATGTGCACATCTTGTGGCAGAAGAGGGCACTAGGTTCCCTCAAACTTCAGCTTCGGGCGGTCATGAGCCATGCATCACTGAACACTTGGATCATCTGCCAGAGAAGCCAGTATTCCTAACTGCAAACCACTTCTCCAGTTGCCAAAGGCAAAGGCCCCTTCTTATTAACTCTTCATGAGGCTGAAGGGGAAACAGGGTCTTGGGTTGGAAAACAGCACTTGCTCCATCTCAGCTGCTCACTGCCAACATGTGTGGAAACAAGGGAAGAAATCACGCCTGCCAGGAGTTGGTGGCACATGCTTTTAATTCCAGCACTTGGGAGGCAGAGGCAGGCAGATCTCCTGAGTTCGAGTGTAGCCTGGTCTACAGAGTGAGTTCCAGGACAGGTCCCAAACAATAGAGAAATCCTGTCTCGAGGGGAAAAAAAGAAAATAGAAGTCACACCTTTTTCATCCAGCCAACTCTGAGCCCAGAAGCTGCAACTTAAATTCCAAAATGCTGCTATGCCCAAAGTGGGCCCCAGCCAGTGCCACTCTTAGGCAGTGTTGTTTCTGAAGTGCAACATAGTACCCTGATCTGAGCATCTTGTTAACCCTGCTCAGGACCCAGAGGTAGTGCTGTCAGCAGTCACTAACAGTGTATATAAAGGAACCATTGCTTGTGGTTGGTGACTAGCTGCAGAGCATAGTTTGAGCTCCCAACACAACACCCAGAGTCCCAGTCCCTTCAGAGTTAGGAGGGACTTTAGATGCTGCAATTTGGTATAGTCCTTGTAAAATGCATCCACCCTTGGGCAGAAAGTGGTGGTGCACTCCTTTCATTCAAGCACTCAGGAGGCAAAGGCAGGAAGATCTCTGAGTTCAAGGCCAACCTGGGATACAGAGCTACAGAGAAACCTGTCTTGGGGGAAAAAAAAAAAATGCATCCACCCTTGCTAATCTGCAGCTGCTCCTATGAGGAATAATTGAAGAGACACGGAGGCATGTACCCCTGTCAGTGGGAGCAGAGGACACCACAACAAAAACTGAAGAGGCAGAAGTCTCTGGTCTCCTGTATCAGTCACCTCCCAACCCAGATGCCAAACTGGCTCTGGTCACCTGCCAGGTGAAACTCCAAACACACTAACTTAATCCAACTTCCACCCCACTGCAGCATCCACTTTGAGGCTGAGGTAAGAGATCAAGGTCAGCCTGGGTTATAGACTGAGAACTTAATGTCAAAGGCGGGGGTGGGGGGTGGGGGGGCTGGGCTCAGTGTGTCGATAATACCACAAACCAGGTGGGCACACTTCTCATCCTAGCAGTAAGGATATGGAGGCAGGAAGAGTTCAAGGGTTTCCACTACATGGCATGCTCTAGCCCATACTGGAATACATGAAATTCTGCAAATCTACCCATAAGCTCTCAGGAGGACTGGAATAGTCATAGTGCCTGGCCCCTGAGGAAGATGCTGCAGGCTGTTTGGTCCCTCCCTCCACTGGCAGGAGATTGGGATTCCTCCACACCCACACATTTTCAGGAGGAGACCAAATATATCAAATACCCAGTCGATGCGGCAGAAAAGAATTGTTCTTCATGAGAAATATAAGGGCACTTTAATCAAAATCTCTCTGGGGGCCCTGCCTGGGGGCCCCGATATTTATACACAAGCCCATCTCCCTGCCCTCCCCTGCCCCGGCCCATTCCTGGGCTCCATGAGGGTGACCCGAGGCAGGCAATGGCTAGCCTCTTACAGAGGATCAGAGGAACAGGCTACAACAGTGCAGTTGAGTCCTGGCCCCCACCGAGGCTGGGGGCCAGCAGCCGCTGTCAGTGCTGGGTCAGACACTCAGAGGCGCTTTCCAAGGTCAGGTTAACCAGGTGCTTCGGTTCCAGACACATTATGCTCGGTGAAAGGCTTTGGGGAGGAGGAGGTGCCCTAAGCCCATTTGTCTGCTCATGCCCACCTGCCTCCCTTCCCAAGCTGCCTTCCATGCATTAATATAGCCCAGGTTGGCCCTCTACTTGAGATCCTCCTGCCTCAGAAGCCCTCCTAGAAGGCTGGGGTTATATTATAGGTATGCACTACTAAACCCAATCCTTGCCTGTTCTGAAATCCTAGCGTGCCAGGTGGGATCATCCACCCTCCCCAACACCCACAATGAAAGGCCTTAATAGGGCATGGGGGATTCTGTGGCAAAGAGGTTGCTTGACTTTGGAGTTCTGTATCCCCCCCTCCCAAGCCACCTGCTTCTTCATACACAGTGTTATTCCCCAGGTCACTCACAAGGCTGGGATGGTTCTGTACATCCAAGGCGAGGCCATAGAGGAGGAGGACAGCACGGTTCATGCAGTGGCCACACAGGAGGGTGTGATTACAGATATCCAATGTGCCCGCAGGCACACAGCCCTGCCCAGCATGCCCTCCCACTCTCACTGACCACAAGAACTCACCCTCCTAATCCTCCCCTATGGAAGGCCTCTTACCTCGTGCCTATATCCTGTCTGAAAAAGAATGAGGCACCAATTAGACCCTCCAGGTCTGCCACAACTCAGGGTAGCCCTAGGTTTCATGAAGACCCTTCAGCCAGGATGATCTGTCCCCTTCCTCCCACTGAGCTCAGAGAGCCTGGGGTGGGGATGAGGTCCTCCTGGGCCTCTGTAAGCTTCAGATACCTCACCGTAAGGTACACACACACTGTCTCAGATAAAACTGGAGATGGACTGGAGCAGGAACTTACTTGTGCCAGGTATTTCTACAATGACAATTTGTTTGGAGTCAGGGGACCAAGTAGCCTCACTCTGTGTCCCCCTCTCTGATTCCTGGTGCCCAATAAGCCCCAGCTCACATGTAACTCAGAAGACCCTGTACAGCTGACTCCCACTGTGCCGATGACCTGGGGAACACAGGGCTTGTTGATGAGGTATGCCCAAAGCCCAGGTCCTCTTGATGCCCAGGTGGTGATCCCAGGACCCCAAGGGCAGTGGGATAGGTGGCTGAGCCATACTTGCAGTAGTAGCCAAAGCAGACGACGTGCGAGTCTGTGCAGTTGTTGCAGGAAATGGTCTCATACTGGAAGATGCCTGCAATACATAGGAGGCAGCCACAGGCTCCCCTGGGCCCCCCAACCTGGGACCCTGCCACTGTGGCCCTCAGCCTGGACCGTGGTTTACTTACCACAGTGACGCTGACAGTCGATGCGGCCTGGGGGTTGGGGGGACACAACAGGAACAGTGCCTTCTGACAAGGCCCAGAGCTCAAGACCTGTCCCTCAGCCCCACTTCTGTTTCTGTAGCCCAGGCTAGTCTGGCATGGAGAAGGTACCCCAAGTTGACCTGGAACTTGTGGCAATCCTCTACCTTATTCCCTCATTCCAGAGTGCTGCGATTACAGGCGTGTGCCATGTAATCCCAGGCCCCCAGTGCAAGATGGAGCTAACCTAGAGGAAGGTTGGTTACAATGCTCCCGGTGTCACCAGGAGACTAGTATGATAGATGTGAGGGGGTGATGGGTGTGCAAAAGGGCCTCCTGAAGAACCACTCCCTCCTGAACCCTGTTTCCAGATGCCCCAGCCCTGAAGTGCCTGCAGCCATGGCACTGTCCCCTCTGTGGAGCCCACTGCTCACTCTCTATGATGGCGTTCTGGAGGAGGCGCACTTGCTCTCGGAAGATGGCCCGCAGCTCATTGGGGAAATACCCTGATGTGAGAATCACAGCAGAGTGGTCAAGCTAAGGTGCCCGGCGGCCCGCACCGGCCCTGCCTCAGTTTCCCTTCTTTACCTGGGAAGTACATCTTCCCCTGGTACAGCTGGTCCATCCTCTGGTACACTGCTCCTGCCACTTGATCCAGCTTCTCCCGGGCTGAGAACGGGAGGGAGAGGAAGCAGATGAGCTGCCCTGGCCGGGGTCCCTGTTGCTTTTCTCCTGACCCTGGGATGGGCTCCGCCGCTCACTGATCTCGGCGGGGATGGCCAGGTGTAGCTCCTTCATCGTGTTCTGGCTCCACTCGGTGAGCAGCACTCCTGACACGGGGATGTCACCCACCCACCAAGACTTGAGGTTCACGTGGTGGCGGTAGAAGGAGAACTTCTCCGAGAAACTGGGGTCACAGTGCAGGCAGCCCCGGGCCAGCGCCGTTGTCATGCCCAAGCACAGGAGCAACGCCATGACCTGGCCCGGCCGGCCGTGCCTATCCATCAGCGCCGCCAGCGCCACGCCCTCCAGCCGCGCGCCAACCAACGGCGCCGCCCGTGCCACGCCCCGTCACGCCGCACCAACCAACAGCGCGTGCTCTGGACCCGGGTCGCGCCATCCGCGCCCACGGCCCGGCCTTGCCTCCAGCTCTGTCCCCACCCCGCGCCAGATATGGCTCCGCCCACGTTCCTGAGCTCCGCCCCTTCCTGGCCCCGTGCCAACTAGATTTGTTATGCAGGCTTGCTTCCATCCATAGGCTGGTCCCGCCCACGGACGGCTCCATGTCCTGCCTGTCCTGTCTCGTCTAGAATCAGGTCCAAGACCTGGCTCCGACCCTGTAACAATTGGCCACCGGTAATGCCACTCTGCCTCCCGTATAGGCCCCGCATGACCAAGGCATCTTACGCGTGCGCCAAGGGCTGGCGCCAGTTCCTGAGCTTGAGCTGACGGGCTCGGCCCCGCCCCTCAACCGCAGGACACCAGCCAATGAGCAGCGCCTGTCTTAGTCTCTAGGGGACCTGACTGCCCGCCTTTCATACGGGGATCCTGGGGAGCTCCTCAGCCACGCCTCCATCCGGGACCCGTCCCTTTAAGGGAAGTAAATCCAGCCCGCGGGCGCGGCCAGGGCGGGGCGTGCGGCGTGTCCCTCCGCGGGCGTGTCCCTCTGCGGGCGCGGTTCTAGGATCAGCAAGGCGGGAGTCGGCTCCAGACGGTGGCGGTCCTGAGGCGGCCAGGTGGGTCCTCGGAGGGTGCAGTCGGGTGGTGGGATTCTATCCCTCATGACAGTGTCCAACAACAGAGGCCCTGACTCAACGGGGTCCCAAAGTGAGAGGGGGGACCTTCCCGTCAAAAGGAGAATCATCAGGTTGCCAGGACCCTGCCCATCAGGATGGGAAGAGTGAGTGTCATGGGTCACAACCCCATTTTTAATATTTGAAGTGTCGGTAGCACAAGCTGCCCTTCAACTGCTGAATCGGATCCTCCTCATCTCACGCCTGATTCATTTTTTTTTTTTTTTGAAACAATCCCATTTCTCACTAAAAATTCATTGAAGGTCTAGGCGTCTTGCTCAGTGGTGAAGCGTTTGCCTTGTGTCTATAAAGCCCTGGGTTCCATCCCCACTATCATCCCTTCACCAATCCTCTCCCCATCAAAAAAAAGCCATTGAAAGGGTGGACAGGGGAGATTCGAGAACAGATCACAGGAAGTTAACTTGGTGGCTGTTTCCTCTTTTTTTTTTTTTTTCTTTCTTTCTTCTTCTTTTTAGACAGGGTCTCATTATTCAGTCCATGCTGTCCTGAAACTCACAGATAATCAGCCTGTCTCTGCCTCCTGATTACTGGGATTAAAGGTGTATGCCAATATCTTTTCCTTTTCTCTTCTGTCCTTCCCTAGGCCTACATTCAAAGCAAAGTGTTGGTGTAGTGTGAGGTGTAGCAAAGGTCCTTTTTCTATTTTCCAGAACCCACCTGTATCCTTGTATTTCTTGATATCTGACTTGCTACCATTCTACATAGTCAGGGGCGTCAGGGGTGAATGGAGGATGGGGGGGCATTGGGACAGTGTCTTCCCTGCCCAGTCTCAGGCTCCTTCCATACCTTCTCAGTCTTTCCTGGAGATCATAAACTCTTAGAGGCTCCTAGTAGCCTGTTCCTAGGCATCCCTGAAGGCTGAAAACCCAGATGCAACCCAGGGACAGCAAGGACTCTTCTCTCAGGTCCATGCTTCCTTCAGCGTGAAGGAACCCATGGATAGTTTTAAAAGTGAGGGAACTTGGAGAGGTGATAACTGGGGACAGCAGGATGCAAAATATATCACATTCTCTCTCTCCCTCTCTCTCTTTTTCAAGACAGGTTTTCTCTGGGTAGCCCTGGCTGTCCTAGAACATGCTGTAGACTAGGTGGCCTCGAACTCACAGAGATCAACCTGCCTCTGCCTCCTGAGTGTTGTGCTTAAAGGCGTGCGCCACCACCGCCTGGCCAGACTTAAATATTGATAATGGCAGGAGCAGAAAAGCTTAGAGATACTGTTCTGAGAAGTTCTGGAAGCCAGGTTTTTAACCCCACCTGTCCTATCCTGGGCACTTTATTATAACTCATTGAGCAAGTCTACTGATTGTTGAGTGGTGTCAAGGTGTGAGAGCTCCACCCCTGGGCTCCTGGATGTTTGTCCTTTCTACACCTGACCCACAATTTCATTTAAGTTCAAGGACAGCCTGGGTATCTTAGGGAAATCTCATTTCAAAAAGAGCAAAAGGAGCCAGGATGGGGGTACACACTTTAATCCCAGCACTTAAGAGGCAGAGGCAGGCAGATCTGTGAGTTGGAAGCCAGCCCGGTCTACAACACATAGGGGTACACAGAAAAACTAGGGCATGGTCAGGATGGAGCATTCACCTAGAATCCCCCAGTGAAGGGCTGAGGGCCCTCTGCAAGCGCATGGAGCCATCCCACCTGCTTCTTTAATTGTTTAATTTTATTTATGTTGAGACAGAATCTTGCTGTGTACACACTCCAGCTGGCTTGTCGTTCCTTAGGTATCTTAGGCCTGTGTCAAACTCAACCATTCTCCTGCATCAATCTCTCAAGAACTAGAAAGGCAGCCGTGAATATGTCCAATGTTTAATGGGTTTATTGGAGCAGAATCCCATTGTAAATAAGAACATCTAAATGTTATTGTTCACACCAGCAGTTTTGTTTTGTTTTGTTTTCCCGAGATAGGGTTTCTCTGTAACTTTGGAACTCACTCTGAAGACCAGGCAAGCCTTGAGCTCACAGAGATCTGCCTGCCTCTACCTCTCTAGTGCTGGAATTAAAGGAATGCACCACCACTGCCCAGCTCACTTCATCTCTCTTGCTCTTATATTTCTCTCTTTTATGGGCAACCAGAAAATTTGATACTATGTATTTTGCTCTCATAGAGTTCTGGAGGTTTCTATGACATTTATTCCATCAGCAAATGTATGATGAATATCTTCTTTGGGAAGTGGGTTGAGACAGGGTCTCCTTGTGTAGCTCTGGGTGTTCTGGAGCTCATTAGGTAGTCCAAGGTAGCCTTAATCTCACAGAGATCTGCCTGCTAAATGCTGGGATTAAAGATGTGTGCCACCAATGCCCAGCATGTAGTTATTATTTTAAAAGAGAGAGCATCTTGCTGTGTTGTCCATCTTGGCCCAGAGCTCTCAGCCCAAGGGATCATCCTGCCTCAACCTCCTGAGTAGTGAGAAATAAAAGCTGCATACTAGAACCCAGGCATTATAAAGTTCACTGTAATTGGAGAAGAGCCTCTTCCTAAATTATTCCCAGTCCTCCTGCCTCAGCTTCCCGACTGTTGCCTTTGCAGCAGAGTTTCAGGGTCATGGCACAGCTGACTGAGTGTGAGCTGGGCTCTGTTCCATGGTGACCTCTTTATGACCAGGTCTGCAGCTGTCCTTAGGGCTCACTCTGGGTGTCAGACACTGCCTTCTCTGTGGCCTTCTTGGGGGAAGTAGCCTGGTCCCAGGCCAGCCCTGCCTAGGGCCTACTAGGGTCTCCAGTGCAGCAATGGTGAGGGATCTTTTGTTTGACCCTTAAGGAAATTTGCATTTATCTACCTATTTATTTAGTGTGGAAGGAGGGTAAAAGGGGGAAGAGTCTGTCTTCTCCTTCTACTATGTGGCTTCCTGTGGAATTCAGTCAGGCTATGGCAAGTGATTTCACCCACAGATCCAGCTCACTGGCCCCTGCTTTACTTTTTTCTCCCTGGTTCCATGTTGAAACCCAAGACACCCTGTTATTCATCTCCTAGGAAGCTTGCAAATTGCCACTTCAAAAGCCAGGCATGGTGGGGCAAGCCTGTCAGCCTAGCACGAGCAGTAAAGGCAGGAAGATCAGGCTCAAGGCCAGCCTGTGCTATATGAGACCAAGTGCCACGTCAGATCCTCACCTTGTGACCTTTTGATTTTCAACAGGTGGGATGGCCCAGCTCACATGTAGATGTCCTACATGACCCCCATACTCTGAAAGTCCCTGTCCCATGCTGTAGAAATCCCCTGTACTTGGAAAGTGGCCTTTCACTGAAGGAAGTTCCCAGGAATACCTAGAGGTTGGGACTAGATCTAGCTTTCCCAGAATGTACAACTTCAACTGTCTTCACCAAAAAGGGCAAAACTTGTTGATGCAGGAGGATTCTGTGCAATGGAATCCTGCAGAGGATGCATGTCCCTTTGCTTAGGATTATTCTGTCTGATTCCTCATCCTTTTCCTCTTTCCTTTACCCTAGTAAGACTGGGCAATGGAACCCATGAATACTTGCCAACTAAGCACTTACCCTTGACCACGCCCCCAGCCCCTCACTGGGGGCATTCTAGGCAGGGCTTCACCCCTGACCATGTCCCCAGCCCCTCATTGTGGGAATTCTAGGTGGGACTCCACCATTACCACACTCCCAGCCTTTCACTGGGGGACTCTAGGTGGGGTTTGACCTCTGACCACGCCCCCAGCCCCTCACTGGGAATTCTAGGCAGGAGCTCACCCCCTGAACTGAGTCCCCAGCCCCATTTTACCTTTTGGTTATTTGAAGATACTTTTTTTTCTCTCTCTGTATTTAGATCAGAAAATGAGAATGTACATTATTATCCCAAATAAACCCTGGGGAAGATAACAAGTTCTAGTCAAAACAAAAAGAAGAGAGTTGACCCTTGCTTCTCATCTGTAAAATGAGCCTGTGCCTGCTGCCCTGCCAGAAATGCCCATTTTGATAGTGGTCTCCCCCTAGGGCCCCAGCATGTCAGGTACCACACCCAAAAACTAAAATTGGAGAGTTCTGAATCAGGATGTTGGGGCAGGAACTTCAAAGCAACTTGTGCTGTAGAGCAAGACTGTTTGAAAGAACACAGTGTAGGCTGACCTGGTAGAGAGGACCAGCCTCCCTACAGGGGCTCCCTCCCAGCTCCCCCATTACCGAGCACTCAGGAGTTTTAGATCACCTTTGGCTATATAGTGAGCTTAGTCTAGCCTGGGCTACATGAGACCTTGAATTTTAAAAAAGGAGAAGAAAAAGAAAGAAAAAAATATTTGGGGACTGGAGGGATGACTGGGCAGTTATGAGGGCCTGCACTCTGCAGTCAGCACTCTGACTCTGTGGTCCCATCACAACAAGATTTGGAAATAGTGTCACAGAGAGCAGAGTCAAAACACAAGGCGGTGTGCAGAGGCCTCACTTCCGTTTCCTTTTGTCTTTGTTGGGGTATTTGCTATGAACCCTGAGACTTAGGCACTGCCCACCAAGCCACATGCCTAGCCCTAAAATTACCCTTTCCATGTGGAGGTGACCTTGATACACAGCTTTGTTCTCAGCTTCTGAGCCTGCCCTGCCACAGGTCGGCCCTGCACACTGAGCAAGCACATGGAACCAGCCTGGGCCCTGTCCCCAAGGCAGTAACAGGATGTGGAAACCTCCGGAAGGAAGTGGGTGACCCTGGGCTCCTGAGCCCTGCACTCTGGCCTGGGAGGGGTCAGAGCTGTGTTGTCTAGTGCTCTGTTTTCTTGTTTTCAGAAAGGGAGGAAGAGGAGCCTGTGAGTGCTGGGGTAGGAGATCAGCCTTATCTACCTCGTGTCCTTCTAGAAGGTTCTGAGTGTCTATCATGTCTTGTTCATCAGTGGGACAACCTGGAGAAGAGGGCCCTTAGTTGCTGGCATCCAGTTCTGAACAGCTGTTGGAAGTCCACTAAGAGGACCAGAGAGGAGGTGGCCAGGTGGCGCCTGGGGCTGTGCGTGGAGGAAGGTGATACCAGCCTAGGTCTGTGCTGGAGGAAATCTGTGTTGATTTTGACAGATACTCTATCCATCCCCAGATTTTCTAGAAAATATTTGCTTCATCCTTAAAAAAGTCCTGCTTTTTAAGAGGACACAGACAATGTGACAGGGGCAAGGCCTTCTGTCACTTCAGTTTCTAGAACAATCTTGTGGGAGTGCAGTAGACAGACAGAAAATGTAGAAAAAGCCACAGCAGGCTGGCATGATGGTGTCACCCCATTCAGTAGGAAGCTGAAGCAGGATGGAGACCTTAGGGTCAACCTGAGCTACTCCATGAGTTCAGAGCCAGCCCAGGCAACTTAATGACTATGTTCCAGAATAAAACCTAAGAACCAGACAAATGAGAGAAGCTTTCAGATCCCTCTGGAGGGATCGTCCCTTTTGAGGTGGAGAAACCTTCTGAAAGCCCCTTTAGGCCAAACACAGAGCTGTTGTCACACAGAGGCAGACAGAGTAGGGAGGCCCAAGAGGATTCTTCATGCCTCCTCATAGTGGCCCCAGCTCCTGCTTGTCCCAGCTTGGTGACAGTACTAGAGGGAAGCCCCAGAATTGTCCCCAGGAAAACCCTGAAGCAGACAGATAGACAGCCATCATCAGGTGGTGGCTGACCCAACTTCCCCTCAGCACAACGAGAGTGAGGCAGGACCCAGGGGGCCTTCTCAGGAGAACCATCTCTGTCCCAGCGGCAGCCACTATACCTACTGCTTCTGGTAAACTGAGGCTTGTCTAGTTAGCATGTGTGATGCATTTAGATGTCAGACTGTATGGTTGCGGGCAGGCAGTCTATGGGAGGTACTGGGCAGGCAAAAGGCACCATGGAGGGATGTGGGCATGCCCTGCCTTCCTGGCTGCAGTGGGGAATGAGCCCTACACTGCCAGGGAAGGCCAGGGCCACCAAGGTTCTTCACTGGGAAGGTAGAGGCAAAATGATCAGGGACTCAAGGCCAACCTGTTCCCAACTTAAGAACTGGTGGCTTCTCTTAATTACATGCTCCCCTGGGAGGCCCCAAGCTGGTCTGCCTGTCCTGGGGTTGGGGGTACAGAGCTGGGAAGACAAAGGAGTCAGAGACACCCAGCTCTGAAGGCCTGTTATGTACACACTCGAGACCTCTGATACTACAGCCACACAATCCACTGTCATTGTCCTACACAACTCCTCCCATAGGCTGTGTGGTGCTGAACAAGACGGTTTCCCCACCTGGAGAGTCCATGGGGCAGGGGATTGCTGCCTTACAACCTCCAGGGGCCCTTGGGTCATATGGTGGGAGATGGTAGTAGATAAGTGGCTGTCCCAAGCTAGGTAGTACCCGGTGTGCAGTGGGTAAGATACCAAGGGCTCTTCCTTTATACCCTGCAAGCTCTGTGATGCTCCACAGAAAAGCACCAACCCCGTGGCCACTATGGAGGAGGGCCTCAGGGGAATTATGTGAAATGGAGGTGGCATTTCCTCAGAAGTGCTGTGAAGTACACGCTGCCTAGTCAGGTGTGAACCAGCAAGTGCTCATACAGAGGTGGTGGTGGGGACATGGGGGACAGATGCTATCTATGGAAAAGTTTGGGCCTATCTGGTCCCACAGACTCTGACCTCCAGGGTACCATGACCTTGACTGGTGACTCCCACATAGGCTCATCATTGGACAAATTGTCAGTCTCTAGTTTGTTTTTATTTGTTTTGAGGTGGTCTCACTATGTAGATCAGGCTGGCACCAAACTCACTATGTAGCCTTGGCAGCCCTAAAATTCATTATGTAGACCAGGCTGGCTTTGAACTCACAGAGATCCACCTCCACTGCCTCTGTCCCAGAATGCTGGGGTCAAACGTGTGTGTCACCATGGGAAGCCCTTGTTTTATTTTGGTGTCAGAGTCTCATGTGGCCCAGGCTGGCCTGGAACTAGGTATGTAGCTAAAGATGATCTTGAATGCCTGATTCTCCTGTGTGCTGGGATGGATCATGGGCATGAACCACCATGCTTGGTTTATATCCTCTTATTTTCTATATTTTCCCACATCCTATAAAGTCAGATTCTGAATGGGGAGTTGACACAGCATGAGCCCCAGGGAACTAATCTTTGCTTCTTCCTTTCCAGTGCCCAGAGCACTCTGAGTGGTGGGGTCCAGTTTCGTTGGCATCCTAATCCCTGTTCCTAGTGATAGAAGGCAGGATTAAGTACAAGCTAAATTGCACAGTCACCACCTCTAATTCCAGAACATTCCATCACCCTATGAACTGTGATGCCCCTTTCCCAGCCCCCACAATCCACTCCCATCTCTAAATTGACTTAATGAGGATATTCCTATCATGGAGTCCAACACTGTGGCCCTTTTTGTCTGGTGACACCACACTTAGGGACCTGTCAGAACCTTCCTCCTGTGCATGACTCTGTAATCTTCCAGTGTTTGTCCCTATGGGCTCTTGACAGTTGTGCTGTGTAGCCATGGGTGTCATAGCTCTGTGTGTGGGTGTGACTTCAGTTCTGTGTAGTCTTCTTGAGAAAGGGCCCTGCAGGTCCAGCGTGGTGGTTACAAGGCCCATAAGAAAAAAGAAAAAGTACTGAAGATTGATGAATGTTGTGAGTGTTTAATTATGGTGCTGTGTGGCACCTGGTATCCCAGCACTCAAGAAGTGGAGGCAGAAGACTCTGCTGCATAGTGAGTGTTGAGGCCAGCCTGGGCTACATGAGACCCTGTCTCCAAAACCCACTCAAGTTATTTACTGTGAGATGGGGCTGCCTGTCTTGGGTGGGGCTGGCCCACACTACATGCCACTCCCCAACTCCCACAACTTCCCCTTTTGTCTGCAGCTGTTTCTCCAGTTCTCAAGCTCCCCTGTTTCATCCAACCCATGTTTTCTCTCCCATATGGCCTGGCCAATCTCAGGCAGCGAGGTGCAGTGGGTCATCCCTGGAGTGTGCTGAGAGCAAGGTCTCCTGACTTGTGTGAAGTCCTAGGTCCCCTCCTGACACGTGGAAGAAAAGACTTGGTCATTGACTTCTCAGCTAATCATGGGTTACCTTACGTTGGTGTTTTTTCCTTACATACAGAACCTTCACAAGTCACATCCCAAGGTTCTGGGGACCTGATGTCTCTACCTGAAGGTCACACCACCTGCCTCTGTCACCTCCACGTGCTCCCCCACAGTTCCTGAAGGAGAGTAAGAGCAGTGTCTGGCCTGAGTCAAGCCAGGAGAGCACAGGTGTTTCTGAGATCATCATTTAGTGTCATGTGACCATTTGTCCCTAATGAACCTGCTCCTTTTGGTAAAGCTGTTCCTGCCAAAGTCTGCAAGCCCAGCCCAGTCTTTGTTTCTAGAGTAGACATTTCAGAAAAGTCTCTTTGCTTACACAGGTCCTAAGTCCTCACCCTGCAACCCAGGCTGGTCTGGTGTGTGTTACACCTGACCGCCTAGATATTTTTATTGAGAACGGTTATTCTGTGTGGCCCAAACTGGTGTAAAGTTGGGATGTTCCTGCCTGGCTTCCTGGGTGCTGGGATGCCAGGCCTATGTGGGTGCCCAGCCCTAATGCCATCCTTTCCTGTTTCAGGCCTCTGGGTGACCACACCATCTCATTGTAGTCTCTCCTGCTCATTCTGAGACACAAGTGCCATCAAGATGTCAAACCCATTCCTGAAGCAAGTGTTCAACAAGGACAAAACGTTCCGGCCCAAACGCAAGTTCGAGCCTGGCACGCAACGCTTTGAGCTCCACAAGCGTGCACAAGCTTCTCTGAATGCCGGGCTGGACCTGCGGCTAGCTGTGCAGCTGCCACCAGGTGAGGACCTCAACGACTGGGTGGCTGTGCATGTGGTGGACTTCTTCAACCGAGTCAACCTCATCTATGGCACCATCAGTGATGGCTGCACTGAGCAGTCGTGCCCAGTCATGTCCGGGGGCCCCAAGTACGAGTACCGATGGCAGGATGAGCAGCGCTACCGGAAGCCCACTGCACTCTCTGCGCCCCGCTATATGGACCTGCTCATGGACTGGATCGAGGTGCAGATTAACAACGAGGACATCTTCCCAACCAATGTCGGTGAGTCTGCTCACACTCATGAGGGGGCCAGCCAAGCCAGGGCTCCATGTCTGACTAGAAAGGCTGATCTGGCTTCGTAGTTTGTGTGTGTGAGTATGTGTGCCACACAACATGCATGAGCCCGTGGAGGTCAGCAAAGGCATTCGATCACCTAGAACTGGACTCACAGAGATCCGCCAGTCTCTGACTCCTGGGTGGTGGGATTAAAGGCATGCACCTCCATAACTATACTGCGTGATGATTTCTCATGGGTGTGTGTGCATGTTCATGCACTTCTGGATACATGTAGATGCTTGCGTGCATATCCATTTGGAGGCCTGAGGAGCTCTCCGGTATCATCAGAGAAACAATCTATTTCCTTGGAAACAGGTCTCTCACTGGCCAGGCATTGCCAGTTAAGCTGGAAGAGACAGTTAGCTATAGGGCAGTTTCCAATCTAAGGCTGCGAGCTCATGTTACCATGCCATACATTTTTATGCACATTCTGGGGGACCTCACTCAGGCCTTCATGCTCAGCTTTTGCCAGGTGGTGATGGCTCACACCTTTAATCCCAGCACTCGGGAGGCAGAGACAGATGGATCTCTGTGAGCTCTAGGCCAGCCTGGTCTACTGAGCGAGTTCCAGGACAGCGTCCAAAGCTACAGAGAAACCCTGTCTCCAAAAAACAAACAAACAAACAAACAAAAAAAAGGCCTCAGCATTTTACCTCTCCAGGCCCTATTTATTTTCTTTCTTCCTTCTTTCCTTCCTTCCTTTCTTCCTTTCTTTCTTTGGCTTATTTATGTATAGTGTTCTGCACGTATGCCTGCAGGCCAGAAGAGGGCACCAGATCTCATTACAGAGAGCCACCATATAGTTGCTGGGAATTTAACTCAGATCCTCTGGAAGAGCAGCCAGTGCTCTTAACCTCTGAGCCATCTCTCCAGCCTCCTGTTTTCTTTATTTAGACAAAAACTTTTGTATCCTAAGTTGACCTTGAACTTAGAATGTTGCTGAGGCTGACTTTGAGCTGCTGATCTTCCTGCCTCAGATTCCCAAGTGCTGAGATGATAGAGCTGTGTCATGCCTGGCTTTTTTATTTATTCGTTTGGGGATTATTTATTTATTTATTTATTTATTTATTTATTTATAGGTATGATCTCACTCTGTAACACTGGCTGGCTTCAAACTATCAAATATCAGCGCCCCCCCCCCCCAATCTGGAGTGCCTGGCTTTTATTTACACTTTGAAGTGTGTAGTTTATACTGGGCCTGGGGCTTGTGACTCACCAGTTCTCCAGGGGGACAGAACTGACAGAGCGAATCTATCTATTTAGAAAGGGTGTTTGTTTGAATGGCTCGTAGGCTATAGTCTGGCTAGTCCAACAATGGCTATCTCCTGATAGAAAAGCCAAGTACCCAAGAGGCAGAGACTGGCAGACCTCTGTGTGTTTGAGGTCAGCCTGGTCTACAGAGTGAGTTCTAGAACAGCTAGGGATACACAGAGAAACCCTGTCTCAAAAAAAAAAAAAAAAAAGGAGGGATAGAGTGGTGGCCTCAGAGGCACTAACCTTGGCCTGCTCACTTGCTGAGTGTGTCTCCCAGGGCTGTGACTGTGACTCAAACCACATGTTGGCCACAAGTTGAGGTGCTGATTTGTCATCCCTGAAGGAGGAAGGAGGATCAGGGACAACCCTTGAACTCTTGTGTATCCAGCTAGAGGCAGCCCAGGCTCTCGAGAAAACAACAGCAGCAGAAAAAAAAATAATAAACCAAAGTAAAGCAAAAGTGCCCATGTCTCTACATGGTCCTAACTCAGCCTCATTGGGCCAACTATAGTCCAAGTGTAGAAGGGCCGGGCCCTGCCCTTGTCTACCTGTCCCAGTGTGGACAGGCCTTGCATCCTTCAGCTACAGTTCCTTCCTCCCTCCCCAGAGCCAGCAGCCTCTCTCTCAGCCCTCCTACCTCCCTCTGAGGACCCTGTGGTGACACTGAGACCAAAGGTTCTCAGGTTAAGCCCCATCTATAGACTCCCTTCTGCCACTAGAGGAGACCTGCTCCAAGCTTTGGCAGCCAGGACATAGTTGTCTATGGGGCCTCGTTTAGTGACCCCAGGCTGGAGGTCTGATACTGCCCCACTGCTCAAAACTTAGCCTGCCCATCTGCTCTGTAGTACTGGCCCTGGGGACACTTGGTGACATGGCAGGCTTGGCTGGTCCTGTGTCCTGGGACACTCATAAGGTCATGTATTCTTTGCAGTGTGGTTGGTGTCCTCAGGATGGTATAAAGCCCCATGGAGTGAGGCTGTAGTAGGGCAAGAAGCTGCCAGACCTGAGGGAATTTTTTGGGCCTTTGGAAAAGGCAGAGCAAGGTAGTCAAAATGGACCATGGACCCCATCACAGAGAAGGCTCCCTAGGCATAAATCAGGCAGTTCCCCAGGGAAGCTAACAATTGGCTTGGCAGAAAACTGGTCCCTGGAATGGGGACATTGGCTGTGTGACCTTGAGCATGTTCCTTGACATCTCTGACCCTTATCCATTCTCACCTCTGTGGTGAGAGCACATCTCATGCTGGGTTGCCTGGACTGCGGTTGGGAAATGGTGTCCTGGGCCGACTAGTCCTGAGTGGTCTTCCTGGTTCCTCTGCCCACCTCCAGGCACACCATTCCCCAAGAACTTCCTGCAGGCAGTGCGCAAGATCCTGTCACGGCTGTTTCGAGTGTTCGTGCATGTGTACATCCACCACTTCGACCGCATTGCACAGATGGGCTCAGAGGCTCACGTGAACACCTGCTACAAGCACTTCTACTACTTTGTCACCGAGTTCAGCCTCATTGACCCCAAGGAGCTAGAGCCCCTGGTGAGTGTTGGGGGCAGGGTCCACTCATGTCTTCTGCCTGGGTGAGATCCAAGCTACCACCTGGCCTCGGCTGCACCTTGTTCTGAAATACCAGCCAGAGGGTGTCATTAGTGGTGGGGTCACACACAAGGCAAGGAGATAAAGTGTTATGGCTTTACTTCAGGCTCTACCTGGGTGGGGAGGACCACAGGGCCTGGTACCCACAGGACCTCTGCTCTCCATGCTAGTGGGTGCCCACAGCACAGGTCTCCCTGAAAGCCTGCCCTGTATGCCTGCCCCAGAACAAAAGGCCCCAGATTTTCTAGTTCACCACACCAGGGAGGATACCCACGTGGTCATCCCATCCCATGTGGTTCATAAAGAGGTGTAGAACAGGACCACGGTGGGGAGGCTCGTGCCTGTAGCTCCCCAGGATAAACTGCCTGTGCCCCTGTCCCGTATTAGAGTCCCAGGGATGGCTGTTCATTGACTGATAGATTTTTGGTTTGGTTTTTGATTTTTCAAGACAGGTTTTCTCTGCATAGTCCTGGCTGGCCTGGAACTCGCTCTGTAGACCAGGCTGACCTTGAACTCACAGAGATCCACCTGCCTCTGCCTTCTGAGTGCTCGGGTTAAAGGTGTGTGCCACCACTGCCTGGCCATTTTATTTTTGATATTTGACTTTTTATGATTTATTTATTTTTTATTTTATGTGCATTGTTGTTTTGCCTGCAAGTATGTCTGTGTGAAAGTGTCAGATCTTGGAGTTAGAGATAGTTGTTAGCTGCCATGTTGGTACTGAGTGCTGAGCTATCTCTATAGTCCCATGTTTATCTGTGTTAATGTATTTCTGTGTATGGACATGGCTGCCATGACAGGCATGTGGAAGTCACAAGACAAGTTGAGGGACTCAACCCCAGGTTGTCAGGCTTGACAGCAAGCACCTTTATCTTCAGCCATCTTGCCAGCCCCACAGCCTGCTTTTGTAGTTTGTAGTTGTTTGTTCATGTAGCCTAGGCTGGCCCTGAACCTCCGATCCTCTGGCCCCACCTCCCAAGGCTGAAGTGATACTCCTGGTACTTGCAGATGGAGGCTGTCCCCTCCCCACTGCTGATCTTTCTGTTAAGTTGTATGGCCCATCAGGTGGACTTACATCATAGCCCATGGCCCACATGGCCCCAAATCAGAGGCGCAGGCTCCGTCTGCTGCAGAGAGCTGCCCCCACCCCCACACACTGTCCAGGGCCTTGCTCCCTCTCTGTTCCCCTAGTTCCCAGTGTGTGTCTGTCCCATGTGCTGCCTGTCTTTTGATACCTGCCTGGTCTGTACAGAAGGAAATGACCTCACGGATGTGTCACTGAGGGTCCAACCTGGCTGCCGAGAGTCACGGAGACAGCTGCGAAGTTCATGTCAGCTTTATACAGCCTGTGTCTCAGGAGTGCCACACCCGAATGTCACCATCAGAGGAGCAGAGGGACTCTGGCTCCTTCCTCTCATAGTGACTATGAGCCCTCCAACTCTGACCTGTCCCCTTGCCTGTCTCCAGGGGGCTGAACTTGAATTCTGTAACACTGTGTGCCCCTAGCCACCAGGCTCACACTGTGATTGTATCACAGCCTCTGGCGGGAGGCAGGATCTGGAGCCATTGCCAACCACCCCCTTGTTCCTTCTCTGTATCTGTCCAGCTTTGCAACTATGGCTTTGGTATGTGTAGGTACAACTCTGTCCCCCTCTTTCCAGCCTGGAATGGGAGGTGGCACCAGGTTTCCTCCATTCAGAGCCACACTCTACGTGGTGACCACATGGGCAGCAGCCATACCTCTAAAGATGCCCTAATGTGCCAAGCCCTCCTCTGCCCAGCCCTGCCCTCAGGGTGTACTTCTGATCATTGGGCATTGCCAGAACTTTCCACCCACTCTGCCTGGCACTTCTGGATGATGTGCCACTCCAACACCCCCTGGGAAGGACTCCCAGCACTGAGTGTTCTGAGGTCTTTGCAGGGTCAGAAGAGTACAGATGCTGCATGCTTGTGATGTCAGCACTCAGGAGGCAGAGGCAGGAGGATTGCTGCAAATCAAGGCCACTCTGCCCTCTACACTGAGAGTCAGGCAAGCCAGGGTCTCATAACAAGATTGTCTTAAAAAAGAATTGTAAAAGGCAGCTGGGTAGTGATGATGCACACCTTTAATCCCAGGACTTGGGAAACAAAGGCAGGCAGATCTTTGTGAGTTCGAGGGCAGCCTGATCTACAGCGTGAGTTTCAGGACAGCCAGGGCCACAGAGGGAAACCCTGTCTCAAAAAAACAAAAAAAAACAAAAAAAAAATTATAAAGGGATGGCTCAGTGGGTAAATTGTTTGCTGAATAAGTGTGAGGACAAAAGTGTGGCCCCAGCATGTAGGGGAAACCAGGTGTGGTGGCATTTGTCATCCCAGCCTTAGTCACAGACAACTCTTGCCTCTGCCTCCCGAATGCTGAGATTCAAGGCATGCACCACCACACCTAGCCCATCTGGATTTTTTTGTTTTGGTTTTGGTTTTTTGGTTTTTCAAGACAGCATTTCTCTGTAGCTTTGGAACCTGTCCTGGAACTCACTCTGTAGACCAGGCTGCCCTCAATTCAGAGATTCACCCTTCTCTGCCTCCCAAGGGCTGGGATTAAAGGCATATGCCACCAATGCCAGACTTCCTCTGGAAATTTTAGAGAAAAAATTTAACCAATTTCTAGTGGCTGCTCTCGTGGGCACAGTGTCTTGTCCATCCTGGAACCCAGGAATGAATTCTCACATAGTTTCCAACACATGCTAAGATCTGCACTTCCCTTGAGGGTGACAGCAGGGACCTTCCTTTCCTCAATGGCAGCCTACTATGTAGCAAACCTTTGTGAGTGGCCCCTATGGGCCACAGGACCAAACTCCTGTGGACACAACTCTACCATGCCATGGAGGGCATAACAGGGTGTGACTGTCCCCAGCTCTAGTCCTTGACCCTCAGTCCTTCCCTTGAGACCTGTGCACTGTGAAGACCCCAGGGAATTTTGGCTATTTTCCCAAATCTGGGAGGCTGCCACTGAAATAAATGAGTACAGTTAACAAGATATCAATGCCAGAGCCTGAACCAAAGCCTGAGGGACTCTTCCTCAGGTCCTTCCAGAAGCCACCACACCTGGTGCTCCAGCTCTGGAAGGACCCAGGGACTAGCCCTCGAGGCTTGACTGAATGTATCTCCCACCTGCAAGACTTGGCCACTGTGCCAAATCCCAGCAGCCCACACACCAGCCCAGGGGAGGGGTCCATACTGTCTCATCCATCCCACCTCAATTCAAGCCCAAGAATAAAGTTGTCATCTTGATACTGTGGGCAGCTGGTTGTCTTTGTGTTCACTCCCACCCTGCAAGAGGGACTGGTGACAAGCTATGGTAACGGCCTGTTCCACCCCAAAGGGCCCCAGGAAACCCAAAGTAAAGCAAAGCTACACAAAAAGCAGATTCACAATGTGTAGCTGCAATTTATTTTTTTCTTTTGAGATGGGGGTTTTCCTATTGTTGCATGAATGTACATGATGTGTGTTGTGTGCCACTGTGCATGTGGAGTCAAACCATTCTCTCCAAACCCATTACACCCCAGCCTCTCTCTGTGATTCTAGGAAAGGGTCCACCCATGGCCACGCCCCCAGCCCTCACTTTAGGATTATACCATACTCCCAGCCCCTCAATGGATTCTAGGCGGGGCTCCACCCCTGACACACCCCCAACCCTTTACTGGGGATTCTAGGCAGGGACTCCTACCCCTCTGGGTTTGGGGGTGGTTGTGGAGAGGTTTTTGGTGGTTTTTCAAGGCAGGGTTTCTCTGTGTAGCCCTGGCTATCATGGAATGTGCTCTGTAGACCAGGCTGACTTAAAACTCAGACCCACCTGCCTCTGCCCTCCAGAGCACCACCAGCTGGCCTCCCACCTCTTTGTTTTATGTGAAAAGCAAGCAGTTTTGACAGCCATGTGAGTGTCTTTCCCTGTACATATTGTGGTTGTAGATGTCAACATAAGAGCAGTTATGTCAAGAGAGGTCTCCCTGTGTAGCCCCTGCGGGTGGCCTGAAACACGAGATTCCTGATTTCCAATTCATGACTGCCCTCCAAACTGGTGGGATGACAGGCTTATACTGTCAACCGCTGAAGGCATCTGTGTCTACCATGTGGGCTGCAGGAAGCCTGGGGTTGCCCTGGCGCCCCTAGGCATTGGTGCAATGCTGTTTCTCATCCATAGAGGGCACTGCGGGCTAAAGCAGGTGAACGGCCACTGGGTCCATGTGAAGCGGCTGGGATGTTCTCAGCTTTCTCAGTAAAGGTCCCAGGTTTTGTAGATCTTCATTTGAGCTGCAGGGCCAATGTGGGTCGGCCTGTTTTCAACCAGTGAGGTTACAGGTCCCATGCCAGAAGGTACAGACCTACCCTGGAAAAGAGGCATGGCCAGCCACGACAGAGTAGCCTCTCTCCAGTGGATGACACTGAGTCTGGATTGGCCTGTTCCAGGCATTTCCTGTCATGGAGTACTACACTGTGTGAACTTTTCTGTCTGAATTGTCACTGAGCACCATGTTTTCAGTGCCCCTCCATACTTCTTTTCTGGAATAATACTCAGGCTGTGGCCAGGCACTCCTGACCTGTTTTTATTTGCTGAAACGCTGGCCTTGGACTATGTGTCCAGTGCCGATGTTTTAAGTGGCCCATCTGTTGGCCCAATGGCCACCCTGAGTACATGGCCCATGCTCCTAGATATTTTTTGGCCACTCCACTGCCCCATTCATCCTGGAACCTTCACATGGACACTGTCCCCAACACTTGCCTTCCAGAGAAGGCAAGACCATTGGAGTACAAACTTCCAGCCTCCACAGCATCCAGTTGCCTATCTGAGGTCACAGAATCAGGCTTGTTCACCTTCATGCCCCCATATATGCAAACCCCACACAGTGTCCTTTAGGTTATCGGGAGCATCTCTGTGTGGTCAGGTTCCACTGGCTGCTTCAGTGTTAGTCCCAGTATTTGACCCTGTAGCCAAGCCATGACTCAAACAGCTGGCCTAGATCCTCAGAGATGTCCTGCTGTGCTTGGCCCTCTGCATCTCCTGAGCCACAGCCTGTGTCCAAGGCTAGCCAGGTACTGTACTCTGGGGAGGCTGGGGACTATGTCAATGAATGTTGGTTTGTCCTGTTACCTTAGGACACCAAGACACTAGCCACAATGGCCAGCTGATAGAGCAATTAAGGTAGACAAAGCCCACATCCCCTGGGGCCTCTAACGAGACATATGGGCACCTTCCACAGTAATATGTTACCTGTTCCTTCCGGAGGGACACAGATGAAATGGGGCCCTTAGAAGGTTAAAATGGAGGGCATGCAGCTGACTCCACCATCCTTCTGTCCTTATCTGACACTCACTCCATCTCACTCCCTCTCTCTATGGCTGCACCAACTCCAGGGACCTCTGGAAGTGGACCCTGTGCTGTGTGTCCTCTGTCTGGAGCATGCCAATGAGCATCATGTTTTGGAGGTCCCTCCATATCTCCATAGGTGTCAGGGGACCTTAAGTTTGATTTTTTTCATAGTCAGTGATTTTACTTTTTTTATTGATTACTTGGGAATTTTATATCATGTACCCCAGTCCTCACCCCTCACCTGTATGTAACCTTTCCCCCACTAGAAAAAGAAAGAATAGAAAAAGAAAAAAATGGGGAAAAACATTTGTGCTTCCATAAACACATTGGAACATAGTTAAAATCTTAATGGCCGGCTCCCCAAGGAAAGGTGTGTCTTTCTCCTCCTGTACCCACCCCCTACCTTGGTAGAAGCTATCAACCGTGGAAAGCCCCACAGGGACAGCACTTCCCTGTGCCCATGCCATGCCATCAAGGGGAGGCAACACAGCCCCTGGCAGTATCAGGATCCACTCATGGCCATTAGTGGCTGCACAGACCACTGTTGCTTCAACATGACCTTGGGTGGTCACACATGTCACTCATACCCAGAAGGCCCCCTGGAGGGAGGGGCAGTGGTGATGGTGCACAGCTTTAATCCCAGCACTTTCGAGGCAGGGGCAGGCAGATCTATGTGACTTTGAAGCCAGCCTGGTCTAAGAGCTAGTGCCAGGACAGCCAGGGCTTACAGTGAGACCCTGCCTTAAAAATCCAAAAGAAAAAAACAATAACAAATAAAAAACATAAGGCGCCATGAGGCTGCCAAGACCAAGGTACCAGCCAGCAGCACAGACTAGGCAGCAGCATGGACCACAGACACCAACATAGCTTCCTGTGGTATCCTTCAAGGAGGTCCAAGCCAGTAAGTGAACCTTTCCTTATCCTGGACTTTGTAGCTGCACAAAGCCAGTCTGCAAACATGTTCAGAGACTTAAGTTTGTCTGCTCAGCCAAAGGCCGCTGCACACCTTTCCCCTGACAATGTAATCTGCTTTTCCGTCTTCCCTGTCTCTTCATCACATAATTGCTCATCATAGTGGAGGCAGGGTGGCTTCAACTTTAAATTTCTAAAAATGATTTATTTATCATGCTGGGTGGTGGTGGCACATGCTTTTAATCCCAGCACTTAGGAGGAAGAGGCAGGTGGATCTCTGAGTTTTAGGCCATCCTGGTCTACAGATCAAGACTTTGTTTAAAAAAAAAAAAAAAAATACCAAACCAAAAACTTGTGTAAATTTGTGTTCTTACTACACAATGTCTATGTGTCATGTGAGTCTGAGTGTCTGGTGTCCTTGGAGGCCATAAAGAGTGTTGATCACCTAGAACCAGAGTTACAAGCCTTTGGTTGTGGCCGCCTTGTGGGTCTAGGAGCCAAACCCAGGTCCTCTGTAGGAGCAACCAGTGGTCTTAACAGTTGAGCCATCTCTTGAGCTCCAGAGCTTGCTCCTTGAAATCTATCGTTTTGAGGGGTTGGAGAAAGTACTCATTGATTAAGAACACTGGCTGCTCCTGCAGAAGACCTTGGTTTGATTCTTAGTATAATAGGGCCCCAGACTTTAGCACAATTGACTACATGGTGAAAGTGTCATTCAGGCCGTAAAATCCATACCTGTAGAAATAGAAAGGCCTAATCCATCAAAGTCTTGGGGGGGGGGGAGTTTAATGCACTAACCTCGCCTTTTGGTTTCTGTAGCTCTGCTTCTGGCTAACTGTTCTTCCTAACTGAAGTATGTCAACCCAGGATGCGGTTTGTGCTTAAAAACTCACCCTGAGAAGAGCTCAGGACAACAGTGACACTGGAGTCCAGACACAGACAGCAACTACAGTGTGGTTACCTGTTGGCTAACCCTGTGCCCCACCCCATAACACCAGAGCCCACATGGAGCTCACAGGTAACCACCTGTTATGCTGCCTTCTCCAGCTTCTGGGGGTGACAGGCAAACATGTGTTGCACAGATACACATGCAGGCAAAACACAGATAAAATTTTAAGAATGTTAATGAAAAGAAAATGCAAAGCTGGGTGGTGGTAGTAGCACACGATTTTAATTCCAAGACTCAGGAGGCAGAGGTAGGTGGATCTCTGTGAGTTGGAGGCTTGCTACAGAGTGAGTTTCAGGACAGCCAGGGTTACGCGGAGAAACCCTGTCTCTTCTCAACACCCTCCTCCACACACACAAATAATAATAATTAAATAAAATAAAAAGAGAAAAATCTAAAACAATTTTTAAAATTTAGATGCTCAGTGGTTAAGAGCACTTGCTGCTCTAGCAGAAGACCTGAATTTGGTTTCCTACACCCATATCTGTCAGTTCACAATCACCTGACTCCAGCTCCAGTTAGAAAGTACCCTCTTCTAACATCTACACACGTGGGACACACTCTCACACACACAAGCTCCTAAATAAAAATTAAAAAATTAAAATTAACTAATAGCTGGGTGTGGTGGTGATTTACCCTTTCAGTTCCAGCACTCGGGAGGTAGAGGCAGATGGATTTCTGTGAGTTCAAGGCCAGCCTGGTCTACAAGAGTGAGTTCCAGGACAACAAGGGCTACACTAAAAAACAAATAAAAATCCAAAAAGAAAAGAAAATTTGAGGCATGGGAGACCCAGGCTTAGGCCAGGAGGCCCTCAGTCAGTCAGGTCGACGTGGGCTTTAGCCTGCCTGCCGACCCCCAATCAGCAGCTCAAGCCCGGCCTGGGACTTCAGCCTGGAGTCAGTCGGCTACTTCTTATTATTGTCCCTTTAAGAGTGGCTCTCGATGCTCAAAATCAACAATCTCATTGGCTAGAGTTGGCTCAGGCACGCCCACCTCTCTAAGCCTGTAGAACCCTATTGGTCCGGAGTCTGGGGCCGGTATTTTCACAGTGGACCAGCTCTGGGCTGGCTT